AACTAACCGAACGAAAAAAGCGAGGGACAACTCACCAACTGGTGCACCAGATTTCACAACACCATACGATTTCACGGATTTCAGATTTCGCAAATTTAACAATTATTTGAAGGATTTGGTCGATTTCACCTACTTAAAACCTCTTTTCAAAAAGTACAACCAGTGCAAGTGTAAAATTAATAAACAAATAATTTAATTTTTGAAAATTCCTTTTCAAATGTGTTGTTTTTATTTATTTCCTTCTTTTTAACTTTAATTAGATCATTTCCTTCATAGGCAAGGCAGCGTTTAAAACATTTAGCTAGGAATTTAGATAAAAAAGACCGGACTTTTTTGTCAAATAAAAACTTAATAATAAATAAAATAAAATCTTTTTTTTTTTTTTTTGATCTTACGACTTATATCACGTAATCTTAAAAAGCCATAAAATAAAATTCATCACACATTGACATTCTTTTATTAATTTGTTTATTATTTAAAGATTAGACGTAATTTATGAAAAGTGCCCAAAATTCTAATATAATTTTATAGATTTCACAAATATTTCATGGATTTCACACATAACGGTTCGGATAAGTCCATTAGTTGCGTTATGAAGCTCGAGAACACGGCGAAATGAAAAATAATTTAAAAAATGGCGCTGTAGAGAGCGAAAATGGCTCCTGAGATGCAATAACGCAGCACATAGTGTTGCAAATTAAATTTCGTATTACATGAGCTTACGTAGTTTGGAGCATTTGAGTTTAAAACGACCAAATACAGTATTTGGTACATATACTAAGTGGTTATTAATACCAGTGCGATTAAATGCAAAATAGTTTTTTTACATTTATCGTCCATATTAATAATCATTTTACACGCTTTATTATTGTTTTGGGTTTGGTCTCTGCACTTAATAAACTTTTGAAGAGAAAACAAATCCCCAGGGCTGGGCTGAATTTAATCAAGATTTTTTAAATCTTTTTTATTGACACAAAACGCAAAAATATTATCACAAATAAAAAGCAAAACACAGCTCTTTAAAAAATAAGACAAATAACATTTAACAAATAACAAATTTTTGTTGCATAGTTTGAACAAAAATAATAATTTTCCCCTGTGTCTATCCCCATCCATTTCCTTATATCTGAGTGTACAAAACCAAAGGTGCAAAGGACATTTTTGGAATCCTTGGTTAAAATAAAGGTCACTTTCTTAAGAAATTCCTATTCAAATTTTGCATAGTTTAAGCAGAAATTGAGTTTGTTTTTTTGTTCATATGTGTTGTGACACCACTGAACCACGAATTGCAACGAAAATTTAACCACAGACTAAGGAGATGATTCAATCAGTTTGACAGATGCGCCTCAGCTTGTACAGGGTGTCCAAATAGGTAGAGAGCACTTTTCCTTCAAAGTTTTTCTCATGAAGGCTATATTTACTGCGTTATCTCTCACGGAAGATTTTATCTCGCAGTCATATTGTGATTTAAACGAAGAAATTAGGCCACACCTACTGGAACTAACCAAAACTAACCCTAATGCATGTCGCAAAAATTTGAATGGAAAAGCTCATGCTGTATAATATATACTACGTCTAGTAGTGTCAAAAGGCAACTATAAACACACTTTTAAGACTTTTAATCTCGCTTTTAATAACAATAAATAAAAAATCAGAAATCACTTTAAAGATAATGTTAATGTAAGCTAAGCAGTTGGTCGAATATAATAATAATAATATTATACATATTATATTTAAACATTTCCTGGAAAATAAACAAAAACAAATCTAGCGAATTTACAGGAAACAATTTCATTAAACTGCTACCACTCCGTGTTTAAGGCAGTGAAACTTTATTGGTTTAGGATTAGGGATATAACTCCCGTAAAACGATTATCGCCGTGTTCCCCCGCCCCCTTCTCGACGAGGCGTATGCAAAACGTCGGTTATAAAAGAACAAGCCCGCACTACAGATTCTCTACTTGCAGATGCGAAACGTAGGTAAAGTCTAGTTAAAAGTCTAGGGCCGATTTATTTGTTCTAGTTGATAATTATTAATATATTTCTGGATCAATGTTAAACAATGTTGTTTAGATATTTAGGTACAAAAAATTATGAATATAGGAAATCAATAGCCTTAAAATTTGTGAATTTTATATATATATATATATATTGGATGATTTATATTTAATATTTCCCGTAATTGGGTCATGTTACCTGTTGGAAATAAAGTGCTATTAGTATTATTATTATTAAACGTCATGAAGCTTAAAAATAGAAAATATATGAAGAATGACAATGAAAATGTAAAACTACTTAATATTATACAGAGACAAAAAAAGATACAACATTCAAGCCCAATAATCCAATAAACAACACTAGCATTTAAACACATCTTATCACTACTACAAACTTTATTATTAAATATAATAAATAACATGGGTGTCCGAAAAATCAAATTCTTATGTGGTTAACGTTTTGGCAATTTCTTCAGTAATCTAAAAGAGATCACATTCACTTAAAATGAAGCAATATACTCCAGCACAATTATATATAACAAAAAAAAGTGTAAATGTCGGTATATGAAACAATACAGATTTACATTGCTAGTCCTTTGTGATCTTGGTTAATTATGTGAAGAATCAGCAAAAACATAATAAACAAATACAAGTGACAAAAAAATACATTCAAAAAGGATGATTTAATGATATAATAATTTACGCTTATTTAGTAAAACGCAATAAAAAAAAATAGTCATACTAAATATGCGGCATTTCCCTAAAAGTGTATTTAATGTACTTAAAACTAGGATTAAACTTAAATTAAATTTGATTATAAACGATTAATCTACTTGTTGTTTTGCTCATTTGTCAAAAAAAGCATCCATTTGGATTTTCAATATCTGGTCTTTTTTTTAGGGAATTTGGATCCTTTTAATGCATACTACCTCATCTAAACCTATTATTTTTTTAAGCTTGTTTACTTACAATTGAACCTTGATCAAAATGTCACTTTTTCATAATAAATTATAACGGCCTTTTCCGGTTTACATTAACCTGTTTTACCTTCCAATATTTTAATACTCTCTTATAATTATTTAGCACCTGATCACCCGGCTGACCCAAGATGTCAACTTTACAAGCTGATCAAATTTTCTCTATACCTCTGTAATCTGTGACAGCACAATACAACCTTAATAAGCTGCACCCGTCGATGTACGAACAGCGAGCAGCGGACTCTCATATTTCACGTCGCTTAAAAGTGAAAAAGCGCCGCGTTTCACCGACGTTTCCCATGCACCAGCCCCTTGATTTACCGTTTCCGTGTACGACGCGAATTTTTCAATATTGTCGTCGCCGGATTCTTCTTTTATTACATCCATAGGTCTGTATATATAATATAGGAACTCTAAAAACGCCATAAATCCTCTTAAGTCAGGGCACAATCCGTTGAATTTCAATAAATCCTCAAGTCTACGTAAATCAAAAATGTTAGGTTAAGGAGCTAAACCACATCAATGCACAGCTTCTTTGTAGTCCTTTCTAAATCAGTTCTCTGGGATTGTATTTACTTACCACTCGCTTGAAAAAACAAATATAATTTCCAGTCAGAGTGCTATCGACCATCGGTAAACAATTCGAAACGTATTCCTAATTAAGAGCGGGAGCGAGGATGTCGTGACTAAATTGCGCGAAACGATGAGGGAGACGAGGACTTTAACCCCTTTAACCCCCTTCGTTTCCATATGTTTCGAATAATAATTTACTTCCCGGTGTAATTGCGGCGGCGACATAAAAACGTTCTTGTTGGAAGCGTCCGTTTACTGTAGTTGATAAACGCGGCAAAATAACATAGAGCACACAGTAATTAATTCACCACAATTTTTACAGTAAAATCCGTTTTATCGTCAAAATAACGAACTTACGCTACCAACTTGACATAGTTCTTCTTCTTTTTCGATGCACGGGCCATAATACCGGCGTCAGTTTTTGATGTGATCATTGAATTATCTAATCGATTCAATGTTTAGACGCTAAAGTAATTAATGAATTTTTATTGCCGTCTCCAGCGGCGAAATTATATTAATTGCGCTTAAACGACCGAATTTTTACATTCTGATCGATATAATACAGAATTAACACGCAGATCTGAGCGAAGCAAGGCCAGTGAACCGGTGGCAATTCCCGTCGTAGATAATTACCACGAGATAGTGCCACGCATTAGTCACCAACCTTGACTCCGCACAGGTACCTACGGTACCACGTCAACGCTAGACTCACTCTCTACTGACACGCTCGTTTTGTTCTACCAAGCAATTTTTTATTTTTCAAACGCGGCACATGTCAACATGAAATCGAAATCGAAGTAGGCAACGAAAAATAAACATTAATAGTTGACATAATCCATATTCTGTATTTTTTATTGAAATTAAGTTCATGCTTACCTAATTCAGAAAAACAGTTATTAGTCGACAATGAGTAACGCGTGAACAGAACAAATTTCCTGCGTGTTATAACCTGTTCGCTAGGAACATTGCAGAGACCATAAACTACACAAACATTGCGGCGCTTAAACGTTTAACAGACAAAATTAAAATAGGCAGGGACAAATATATTCCAATCCATTAACTTAATATTGTTTTGTTATCCGATGTATCCTATATTACATTTCGGGGAAAATTCAATAACACAGTTTAATTTGCCGAATATGCGCTGAAGCGTGTAAATTGCAATAAGCATTAAAAGCCCATTTTAAGTAATAAAAAAAAGGGTATAGTGGATTAAACATATCGACAACGTCCACTGAGGCCCTAAGGCGCGTTAAAGCAATTTTTCAGTAAATTGTACGCAGGAAATATAATTACCGTTAACACCTCTTCAATTATCGTTGTGATTTTAAACAGAGATTTAAATATTTGACATACGGCAAGTTCACTACCCTTTAACCAGCAGCTGTGTAAAACATCCAACGGAACCCCTCGAGAGGGTTAAAATCGGTCTATATTAGAAAAATCTACTCACCGCTGTGGATCGGGGGTAAAACCAAGAGCAAAAACCACGGGAAAAAACAATCACATAACATTGTCCCCGCACAAATCAACTCGCAACACTACAAAAAGTACACCCAAACACTTTCTTTATGTCATTTCCGAAAATTACAGCTGACTGGCGACGATGACTGACAAACGGATGGAAACACACAGGGCCTTTGTGTTGATCACCCAATTGCGCACGCGCCTATTTAGTAAATATTTCGGTGCGGGGCGGTGTTGCCGATACTGGCATCCATTCTGATTTCCACTTCATTTTTGCCTAAAGAAAACCGCACTCTTTAGAATTTCAAGTATTCATCACAGAGAGATGAATTTGAGGAATTCAAATATTCCTGCCACCGCTGCAACACTTCGAAGGCGTATAGATGTAGTAAAATATATATCAAAGAAATCCAAATCCGTAATAACCGATAAATATATATATATATATATATATATATATATATATATATATATATATATATATATATATATATATATATATATATATATATATTCGTACGTAACTATTAATTTTAAAGCGATTTGTGAATAATATGGCGATTTAGTGGTTAAAGCTTTATATTAGTGATCAGGAAACACTAGAACTCACTATTGTATAATATTATATTAGAATGCCACATGGCAACGTTGTCCAGTTTGTCTTTCTGAGATCAAATACACGTTAACAAAAGACAGGAAGTTGTAGTCATTGTTTAATTTGGTATTGAATATGCAACATTGAGGTTTGACTTGCGCCAAAAACGGTTTTTGCACCTGTTCAATTTGGTTTTTAAAGTTTGATTTCGGTTATGTCGTTTATGATGACCTCGAATAACCGACCTAATTGTTTTTACGGCAACGTTGCCGCAACATTTATTTTATTTAGATTTTTGTTTATTTAACGGTGTAACTTGTTTAAAAAGTAGGTACCGAAGACGCGATAAAACATGATTATTAGAGTTTATTGATTAAAATCTGCAAACCAATATTTCTATTTCTATAAATTAATTACATTTACAGTTTCTATAATTTAATTACATTTTTAGTTGACACCTTTTTTGACAGAGAAAACCGCGCCTTTGTAATCATTACCAATAATCTAAAAAAAAACAAACATGGCAACGTCCTTTCAACCAAAACTCTCAAAACTTGCCGCGCCATCTATCAGTATCTTCACACACTTTTTGCAGTTTTCTGTTTCTGTTGTGTAAGCTTCTATGATGCTCTGTTTCTCGAAGCCATCATTTTTGAACTGTAAAATTTAGCGGTCTTAGCCGAATTGTATAGGCGTAGTGTTGTGATGCTGATGTTTTTTAAGCAAATGCTAGATCGTATTCATCCTGGGGCTGTTATAATCATGGACAACTATCACACAAAAAAAAATCCGAAAAAATACCCGCCCTTTTTTTGGAAAAAAAAATGACATGGCATGAGCGCAATTAAAAGGATTGTGGCAAGAGAAAATAAAGACCATGGATTGTGCAAAATGGAGTAAGATGGAAAACATTGTAGGACCCCTTGTTGTTTCGCTGAACTCCAATGATTACATTTCATCTGACCACTCGGAACATGAAAACTGAAATTTACACATGAAGTTGTAAATTGGGACCCGATCCAAATTTCTTGAAAATGGTTCGAGTAAGCGATAAACCACAAGAGACCTTTTTTGTAGAGATAAGAATAATTAAAAACATTTCACGATAATTATTTGCCAGTCACTAAAAAAATTCAGAACAAAAAGTTTGTTCTTTAAATTTTTCAATCTTTGACCTTGAATATCTTTGAAATGGATCGATTTATCAAATAAGTATAAGAGACTTTTTTTGTAGAGGGTTCAATTTCCTATAATTTAAAAAAAAATGGTTTAAGGATCTATTGATGATAAGATATGTAAGTACTTTATAAAGGAAACTAGCAACTCTAATAATAATTATTCTAATAAGCTACATGAATTACGGCCCGTCATTTGGAAAGATGCGGGCGCTGTCAACAGCAATATTTTATTTTCTTTTCGCGGTTTACCTGTAAATTTTGATAGAGCCCAGTGAAAGTGAAACTATTAACATCAAAAAATGTTTCAGAATTAATTATAACTAATTACAATGACGTTTTATTTAAGATGAAGAATCCGATGTTCATATTTAGCATTTAAAAAAGGAACTTATTTTGTGGTTGAGCCCTAAATTGATGAAAAACAATAGTCATATAATAATTCATTAGTAATTTTATCGATTTTCTTAGATTTGAAAACTTTTAAATCGTCCATCCTGTTTAATGATGCCTGCCATAGCAAATCACATTAAGAAACATGATCCTAGTAATTGCACTATTGTGTCAAAAATCAAACGCTTATGTCATAATCATTTTTTTATTAATAAAAGCGTGCATTTAAAAAAAGGAAATTGGTACAGGTTAAGGCAGTAAATGTGAAAGTCAGGCTTTCTTTTTGACAGACACGGGAACTCTGACGCCCATCAGATTGCAAAGTTGATTCCTGACGGGTCGAACGATTTCGATGGACTCTTCCCAATTTGTGTTGCTCAACACTTGCATCACCTCGTTGAGATTATCGATCGAGATATTGCTGCTCTCTCCGTTCACCAATATCGATTCGTATAGCTTGGCAGCGGTGGAACGTCGAACGTAAGGCTGCCTGTGACACAACAAGATGGACAACTGGATCAAGGCGATTTCGCACACCTCTCCTTTCACTTGGATAAACTGGCAGAGCACGTTAATGCCATCGATCAGCTTGTAAATATCCTTGCAGCCCGCTATCTCCATCTGAACTAGCTTGAGTACCCTCTTGGGGAAGCTAGACCGCGAGTTTTCCAAGAGGGTGCTTATGCAGCCCGAATCAAAAAGCTGATCCAAAAACCTGAACAAGGGAACGGTGATTCGATCGATTTTTTGGAAATCGACGAAAATTTTGTGAACCGTTTCGCATATCCTCACGATCTCTGTCTCTCCGTCCTTTTCGTCCAGCTGATGCCTCAGGTAATCGAACAACGAAGTTCCCGCATTTTTAACCTAAAAAATTGACGGTCAAAAAGTAGTGGGAGCGCGGTTGGTTCTAACTTGCTAGCGATTCGGTTAGTCCTCCTACGCTGCATATGAGACCGACTAGGAGGTTATAAGTGAAGGGCTCGAATCGAAGCAGCTGCACAAATTTGGGAAACGTGGCTGCCGCCGAGTTCCAGTTCAAAATGTCGCACTCGTTTTTGGGGAAAATCGACGATATCGCGTCGTGGTGCAGGATATTCGGCACTCTGGGATTGCTGACGTAGGAAATGTAACATTATGGAACATTAAGTGAAATTAGATTGATAACTTTCGAAAATGTTAATGGTCGACAATGTTTTATACACAGGATGTTACCTAATTCCAGTAAAAAGTAACGCAGTAATTTTTTTTTGAAAATCTTTACATTCGATGATCGTCCACTTTTTGGTGAAATCAGTTCGGTGTAAAAATTTGAAAAATCGCTTCAGAAAAACTACAAATTTTCCTAAAAAGCGTAAAAATGTCGCAGTCAACAGCGATAATTTTTTTGTGCTTATGCGGTTTACTTGTAAATTTTGACATTAAAAAATCAGATATTCATATTTAGCGTTTAGAAAGAAAACTTTACTTATAAGTTATAAATTGGTGAAAAATAAACATAGTTATTAATTAACGATTTTATAAACTCAACCAACCAACATTTAAAATTTTCTGTTTCAAAGCCAAAATAATATTTGTAACGACAAAATAAAAAAAAAATACAAATTTTGTAATTTTTGGAACATTAAGTGAAATGTGAAAGATAATTTTTGTAAATTTTAATAGATAATAAATAATAATACAATTTTTAACAATAACAAAAAAGGAGAAAATGCGGTACAAAATTTTTTGGAATGTCGGAAAAAATAAAATTTTATGTGTATTTTTTTAAATCAATTATTGGAAAAGGATATTCTAGTGATATTTGGTACAAATGATAAGGTATTTTAACACTTTACTGATGGGTACCATAATTTCGCAAAAAAAGATAATATGGGCCTCAATATTGCATAGCATTGAATATTATTATCTAACATAAAAATTAATAGTAAAATAGCATAATATAATATAATAATAGTAATGTACTAAAACCCGTTATGTGTACCAAATATGACTGGAATACCGTTTGCCACTGGTTAATAAAAATAAAAGAATCAAATGTTATGTTTTCCACACATAAAAATGTATATCACATTTTCCTCTTAAAATAATGTGAGAATTCTGATCCTTCGTTTGCTCGGATAGGTTAGCAAATACCCTGTATAATGAGGAACAATATCCTTAATATAGAAAATATAAATAAATTTCAAAAATAGAATAGATTAGTCATCGACTTTAGCGTAGACATAAAAATATAATATCACTTATTTTTAAAATGTTGAAAAGCAATAAATAAAATTTATATATATTTTTTCTAGAAAAAACCGTGGACGTAGAAAAGTTTCCGAAATATAATTTGGGCACGATGCAGATTCGGTACGAAAATTTCATGCTAAAACCTTTTGAAAATAAAAGCGTCAGGTAGTCAGTCAGTCCCTTATGTATGTCAAATGTCAAAAAAATGTCAATATGTCAAAAAAAAATTTTGATTGCTTAACAACTATTGGCGTGAAATTTTCTTCCGCCCATCACCAGACTTACTTATAAATAAAGCTGTAGAACACTTTGCCCGATAGCGCCCTCGTGCGGTCAATCTTCTCGACTGCCTGCTGCGCTATGCTAGACAGCACCCTGTTCATTAGCTCGGACGACAAGATTGCCGGATAACGCTCGGTCAGCAACAGCGTCAGCACTTGCAGGCCCGTCACCGACGCTTCCCTAACCCAAGCACCAATATCGCCTCTTTTATCCTGGGTGTAATCTTTCAACCCTTCGAAAAACGTCTCGTATATTCTGGAGATGACGTGGTCGCCGAAATTCCCACCCAACTCCCCGATCATGGTCGACGAGATCATCGTCAAAGCCTTCACGGCATCCCTTCGGCTCTCCGCCCATTTAAGGGTGGCCGGGGTTATTTTCGAGGACTCCGTCAGAGCGTCGATGACTGCCTCAAAGTTCTGCAGCAATATGAACCGTGGCAACGACCCTAAAGCGAGGGCGTGCCCCATTCGGGCCGACTGCTTGTTTTCTGATAACAGTTCGCGTATATACCTCTCCACCATGACTTTGTTACTCTCCTCCCGCTCGGGGGTGGAGTAATACTCCCCGAGCACCACCGGAAAGGCGGTAACCGCCGCCTGTCTCACGTTCGCTACCTCGTACGACAGGCATTCGTTCAAAAGCGCCATCCAATCGTCTGTAACGCAGAAGAAGTTCGAACATAACCTTAAATTACACTTAATCGAGATGCTAACCTAAAACGGGATCGTTGTGAAAGGGCGCCCGTGCCAAAGAGCACTTCTCTATGAAGCTGGCGCAGGCTTGCTTCATGAGTTCACCCCCCATGCCCCGGAACCCGCCGCGATCCCGGAATTTCCGGACAAGTGCCTTCGCTTCGATGAGTATAAGGTCACTTAACTTCGCGGGCGGATGGGAGTTCAGCGACGAGAGGGCGTGCACGATTTGTCCGATGGCCAGGACCGCCCCGTGACGTGCATTCAGGTCTATGCCGTCGGTTTTGTCGAAAAGGGCGGGCAAAACTTTCTCCACCATATATTCGGGTGCCTAAAAGTGGAACATCCCACCTATCGCCGAATTCACAAATTCGAGGGCAGCAACATCGATTCTCGAACTGAACTTTAAGAGTTATCCGATGGTGACGTAATATACAACGTCGGTCTTTTATTTAAACACAACAACTTTGAGCGTAGTTTAAGCCCAGTTTTAACGTTTAACGCTTGGTCTGGGTCTGAGTTGACAGATATTTGACAGCGGTTTAGCTTGGTACTCATTGATGACGAAGAAATTGACGTGATTGTTTTTAACGTCTTCATAATATTTTATTTAATTAAATATTTTTCTCCTCATTATTTAAAAACCAAATAGAGAAAATAACGATGCTGCTTACACTCTATTGGCAAGGAGTTTCATTGCGTTATATCAATATCATATCAATATATCAATATTTCTTTGTGTGGGATACAAAAAACTGTAAAAAATATTGAAAGTTCAGAGAAAGTGCAAAATATAATATCTATTTCCTCCTGAAGCACATACCTATTAATAGTAATAATAATAATAAAAATAATAAGCATATTTCCAAATTTCCGTCAAAATCAATATTACATTATATACTTTGGAAAATGAAAGTTTAAATATCAAAAACCAAGTAGAAACTATTCAAAATTAAACGCGGAGTAAAAGGAAAACCACAGAAAACAAGCGCAATCAACCTTCAGAAAATGTTTGGTGGTGCAATATTTGACTAGAACCAGGGCAAAACGTAAAATGCAAAAGCCTAAAGCCTCGTTCTGACTAACTCATCAAAACTATTTAGAACTACGTTCGAATCGAGTAAATAAATTAGTTTGGCAACACTGTGGGATGTCATTTCGCTATTGCAGGATTACCTACACAAACAGTTTATTCACACCTTTGAACACATTTAAAAGTTAAGAGTCCCAAATGAAAACCAAACCTGTTGACAGAAAAAATATATAAGCAACATATTATTTCTAATACTTCCAGCGACTGCATAAAAGGTTAACCTTTTCCATTCGTATGTCGCCGTATAGGTGGCACACCATGACTTATCATTACAGCAGCTTAGCCGATCTGTCATCCGCTAAGCTCATTTCTAATATTTCTAAATTGTTTTCTTAAACTTTGCTGAGGACGTGTTTATGTAAAAATAAAATATAGCATGGCATTTATTTTATAAATGCCATCGTAAGCTGTTTTATATCTGTTGATGTATATATTTCAACCACTTCAGTTTATAACTAACACGATTGGGTAAAGTTCGGTCTATTTTTTAATTTATTAATTTATAGATTGAGTACTGATATTAGTGACTCTAGTAGTGGTAGTGATATTATAGTTGCTAAAAGACAGAGAACCATACGCTTACCATCAAGTTCAAGCAGCAGTGAAGAAAACGAGAATATAACACAACCTGGTAATTTTGGTCCATGGCAGTACGTTACATGCCACGACAGTAGAACAAACAAATAACTACGCTAGACATAAAATAGCACAGAAGAGGTGGTCAAAAAGTGGGTAGATACTACAGTAGCAGAGTTTACCGCATATATTGGGGCTGTCCTAAATATGGGTACGATAATCTTATCTAATTTCCAAGAGTATTGATCACAACTTTCTAACGCCAAAATACAGTTTTTTAGTAGCACATTTAGAAGAGAATAATTTTTACAAATTTTTTGGATGCTGTTGTTGGATTTAAGGAAAAAATTAGTTTTTCAACTTACAATCCTAACAAACCTACGAAATGGTGGATACAATTTTACAGGACTAAGGAAGCTTGACATCGGAAGATTTAGTGAGGCCACTTACAGAAGAATTGCTAACACTAAATGTTCATTTGACAGGTAATATTCAAATCAACCGCAAATTTATACCTGATTCTGTCATACCTATCATACTGTGGCGATAGTTATTTTCCTGGGGACTCGAAATGTCTAGTGTCATGCATATTTATTATATAAAATTTCACAAGGGGGCCAAAACAAAAAACCAATGACACACCTAAAGTTTGTTCGGGAACTGGTTAACGAGATGACAAAAAACTTTCGGCAGGGGTCCAAAATTTCTGGCAGATCATGATCTGTCGATACACGAGAGCGGCTAAATGGTAAATTACATATTTTACGTCGAAATGATGAAAAGAAAAAAGACTGTGCGGTATGTTCTAATCGTAAAGTACAGGCAGCAGGCGGGAAACTATGTATATTTGAGACACTTGCACCCGTAAGCCTTGATTACACATTGGTGACTACAACATTATAGGATGTAATTTTTTTATATTCAATAATAATGGTAGTGATTATGATAATAATAATAAAATATTGGAAAAAAAATCTCGTAGTTATTATAAAGCGAATTTTTTTAATTAAAAAAAATCTAATATAAAAAAATCGGAGTAGACATATAAGTAGATAAAATAATAGTCCGAGCACATATATACGAGTGCGAAGGGTTAAAATAAGGAGAAGGAGAAGCTGTCTATAAATGCTCCATTCCCATTGGTTACCTAAGTGTCAAATGATTTTTTGCAAAATAAATAAATAAAATAAGATTCCCGCGCTTTAATTCGTCTGAACAAAGTTTTACCTTCGGCGTGAGGTTGTGCAGGGCTTTGGCAGCGAGTTCCCTGATGCCGGCGTCCCAATGGTCGACCTTCCTGGCGACCAAATGGTCGACGAGGGGCACTGTGTACTCCCGAAACTGCGCTATATAAACGCTTATGTTCAGGTAAGCGTTGGTTCTAACGCTGACCGCAAAAAAATCGGCGGTCGTCAAGATATCGATGCCGTGAGGGAAGGTACCCTGCCGGCCCACGTTTTCCTGAAAAGCGGCCGACGCCGCCCTTCTGCAGTTGATCTCCTTGTCGAAACAGGTGACCACCAAGAGCGTGCTCGCGATATCTTGCACGTAGGGGGCCAAATCGCGCGGCTCGTAAGCCCTGGCGAATGCCCAACACACGTAACAGGCGGCGTCCCTGATATGGGAACCGACCGAAGCGTATCCTTTAGGCTCGTCGTAAACCAAAGCTTTGAGTATTAACGGCACCACTTGGGGCAACCTTTCCGGCAAAAGAAAACCTCGACGGCCCAGCTCGGCCAGAGCTATACACCCGCCGTGCCAGGCTGCGTCGTTTTCTCGGGGACCGAGCAACTCCACTACGTAACCGACCACGTCGTCGGCTAAATCTTTGGGTAGACGCGATGTTACACGTCCGACACCTTTGGCCGCCGTCCATCTATATTAAAGCAAAACCTAAGTCACTTACACATTTATTAATTTATATGAAAATGAACCCGCGTTATGGAATACAAAAAGTGACCGTCATACCGAAACAAAAGACAGTATTGGTGGCATTACGATTAAGGAATTAAAAAAGAAAAGGAACAATTTGATGACAACATATAGAAAATTTTAAATAATTATTGTTATTATCTATACATTTCTCATAAAAAATGAGTCGTTTTTTGTCACCCAGGCTAATGATTATCATTATTTTAAGTATTTGTTGTCGGTTGTCTCTACTAGATATTTATGATTCTCAGATAACTTTGTTCATACCTGACAACACTGTCGGGACATCTTAGTCCTTGAATAAGTTGGTCAATAATCTCTTCCACATCGTCTGGAACCTCTATGTATTCCTCTGAGGCACTGTTATCAAAATCGGACGAGAAAGTCGATTCCATATCACCGGCGCTCAAATTTGCCGCCAACGACCTATTCCCTCGCTGATATCTCCACGACGCGATTCTCGGAGGCAAAAACGTCAACCCTTAACATGAAATACCATTACTATAAAATCCACTTAAACGAAATACCCACCGATGCGCTGGATAATTTTGTAAACCAATTTTAGCACATTTGCGCCAGAGTTTTCCTTAAAGTCTGCATTAGTTATCCATTGCAGTAACCTTCTTGCATGTGGCAAGATGTCCTCGCGTTTTCCATGCTTAATAATGGATGCGACACAGGTGAGCGATCCATATTTGACGAAAATATTGCTGTCCTTTGAAAGACTCTCTTCCATTGTCCAATCCAAAAAATTCTTGAGATGCAAAACTTTCACGTCGTTTCTCGTAATAAACTTGTTCGCCAGAAATGCGGCTGCATCCCTGCATTTATCGGGAACTACAGAGTAAACTTTAATTGCATCCAAAACACGATCCATGACTGTCTTCTTGCCCGACTCGCTATCGTCAAACCTCGCTAAATGGAATGGTATCATCACAATTATTGACAACCACAACAACAAAATATATCGAGTGGTCCATGTTTCTGTATCGTTCGGATCTTGGAGTTCAAGAAGTTGCAAAACGGGTTCGAAATCTGAGACTTCGTGAGGCAAATGCTTAACAATGTCCTTGTAACCTCTTACATTGACTAGTACAAACATGTAGCTGAAGGTCAAGTGTTTTAATTTCATCTCAGTATCTTTATTTCGAATTATCTCAATACATTTCTCTAATAACTTATCAATATGCGAGTCTAACAGGTGAGGCTGTTCTATATATTGACTCAGAATAAAGGAAAATCTCTCATACGTTTTTTCTTGGTAGGATCTATCTCCATCAACAATGTTTGAGAGGTTATTTATCACCCGGAATACTTCTTCGTGGTCCGAAAAATAATCCAGAGCGCATCCAAGCCCGAATGGCTCCACGTCTTTTTCAAACTCTTCATTATGATTATTAACCATGACGTATGTGCAGATTTATTTACGTATATAAAAACAGCCAAACACCCTTTTGTTTTTGACAGTTCCCAAAGAAAATGATTTACATGACCTTACGCATTTTACTAGAGACACTCGCCCATTGCCGACTACAGGTCAGAATTTTTGCATTAAGATAAAAAAAAATGACTTGAAATATTTACTAACAATCTTTATTTTTTTGAATAATGCACACATCGCCTAACTCACTTTTACATGATTTGGGCCATAATTAGCTGGTTCTCACCAACTCTACACTCCTTCCATTAGTTATTAGATATATACCCGCAAGGTATTATATGCGTGGTAAATACATTTTTACAAATTTAAAAAATAAACAATTATTAGAACAAATTTGAAATACATGTAAAAATTGCATCGTATCTACCGTGTTTAATAGGAAATTGTCATTAAAATTCGAATTATCAGCTTACAAATATCCAAGCACTACCGAAAAACTTATTTTACAAATGAGTAAGTAAAAAATGAGGAAACCGCAGATCAAGGATAATTTTTTCGCGGTACCGACAACACTGCGTGACAGAGCCGACCATGTTGACGTTCGGCATTTGTTTCGCGCATGTTGTGGTTAGACGTTTGCCAAGTAATTTGCGAGTGTTTGGCCGAAACTTTTACACAAACAAAACCTTAAGGGCGTACTCGGCCATGGCATATTCGGTAATAGAAAGAGGATCCCCCTTTAGCACGGATTATCGCGTTTACATACGTAAGTGTTTGCTTTTTTCCGGCAAGATAACCGTGACCTCTTCTGTCCTTGGTTTTAAATGCAGAAGATCAGGATGGTCCTGTTTCGCCCCTTCACGACATCCCCTTAGTAGTCGACGGTGACAAGAAGATTTACAACATGGTCGTGGAGGTGCCCAGATGGACAAACGCCAAAATGGAAGTGAGAAATTAAGGTTTTCATTCATGCACGTCAGTTAAAAGGCAGTTGGTGTTTTCAAGATTACCGCTTATCTAAAAAATATCGGGCGCTCATTCTGTTTTTTATGTCAGACGGTTATAAATCAGGATTTATGTAGCTCAAAACCATTTTTTCGAAATGGTTCAATTTACGATAGTTACAATGCCGATACTTTCAAGGTTTTGCACCAAACGCGAGGAAGAACCTTGACGAAATGAAATCAATACCGTTTAATATATTTTTTTTAAATGAAAACTGTAAATGATGGTTACCTATTGTACAGGAAGTACCTTTATAATTTGTTATTTCAATGTTGAAGCTCTCGAAAAAGATTTCTTGCAGATTTGGTCTACTTGTTTTGTTGAAATAACTATAAATGTTTAAATTAACGGCCTCTAGGAGAGGCAGTGAAAACCAGTTTGTCACAGGTATATTTTTTTTCTTAATAAGCGAAATTTCTTCTCAAACGGGACATAATTTGCTCCGCCCTTATTTGCTGCCTTTCATTTAAAAGCGATCAACCAAAAAGATGCAGAATTTGATGATTACAGATATTGTATTCTTTTTTGTCAACCCATAAGATATTAATTGGTAAAACGCATTTTTATATTCGACGGTGTTAATTTAAAAATTATTTCTAGTATTCCCTTTGGATCATTTTAGTTATCAATTTTTTTACTGCAAATCTTTACAATTTGTAGTTTCCGAGTTCTTCCTTTTTGTGTGTTTTACTTAAGAGGATCACTTTGCAGGTGGACCTTAGGTGTACATACTATGTCTTTTTATTATTAAATGTAATTTTAAAAAACTATGTTGAGCAATTTTTTAAAATTTTTTCTCATACAGTGATGGTCAAATGCAAATTAAATATATCAATGAATTATATATTCCTCTGTTATTTTTATAAACTTTACTTACTTAACTATCAATTGAGAGCCACTTTAATCACTTTGGTTTATTAATTAGGGTATAATAAAAGAAATGAAAAAAAAATACGTTTGATCACGATTGTCAACACCCGTTGCTAATGGTGATCAGCGTGTGGTCAGTGGCGATCAACACATATCGCGCACATAATTGTTCCCAGAATCCCATCCACTACAGTCGGCATGTGCATGGCAGATCCTTAAATGTTGATGGTATGTCAAATCTAAACAACGATGCAGTCGTTGGTTTAGAAGTAGTGGGACGGAATGCATTTGGAATATTTTGTTCAAAACTTAATAGGAGCTATTAGGGATGATACGGAGAATACCCCACCCGCAGACGTCTGCAGATTCTGTAGTAGAATCAGCATAATCTTGAACAACAATTGGCGCGGGTTGTAGGATTTTCGCTGCTTTTTTCTTCATGGGAAAAAATATTGGGATTCATAGGAAATATGCCCGTTGCTTTGCATCCAGCTTCGGCCTTACTAATGGAGGCAACATAAGAGAATGCTGTTTTCACCAGCGAAGCAGTATCATAGGGTGTTATTCTTTGTGACAATTGTCTCTTCATGAATAAATCGCATTCTTTTCTATACGCAGCGTCTAATGGACCAAAAAATGACACATCTAGTGGCTGCATGCGATGGGATTTATGGAGTGGAAGAGGTAGCATATGGACATTGGTCTCCTTGCATGATTGTCCATGACTAATAGGATTGTTTCCTCTGCAGAAGGTTTGGCATAGTCGGTGAAGTGCTTGAGCCATTGAAGGAAAAGTTAGTCATTATGCCATCCATTGTCCGAACATTTATGTATTGGTCTTGTTGGCTCATCCTTTTCAAGAGTCCACCTGCAGCACTCATAGCGCAAAGCATAGTGATATTCTTACCCCTTTCCCAACTACTCTCTTTTGTTCTGTTGCAGGATCTTGGAAGGTGGAGATGCCGGTTTCGTCACAAATATATATGTTTTTCGGTAAAAATTTGTATTTTCCTATTACTTCAGTGTTGTTGAAGGCTGAAACCCTATTAATGCTGGTAGCTTCGGGCTTCCGCACAGAAATATTATTTCTGGCAATGAATCCCTCAAACCAAATTTGACGAGACGAGGTGCCTCGAACATATTATTTTTGTATCCCTTGTGAAGACTGGCAAATGGAATATTCATGGTCTTCGCGCCTTTTCTTATTCTTTCTATTTTTCTATTTCTTATTTTATTAATTCTGTTCATTAATAAGTTTTATAGCCTTTTCCAAGTCGTCTGCGGTCCAGTTAGCCCTATTAGTCGTTCTACGGCGAACTTTCGGCATGTAAAAGTAAAAAATAATACGATTTTAGTAAGATAAGGTAGTGTGGGCAAAAGATCGACAAAAAGAAGAAAAAAAAATCTGACAAGACTTTATAGGTTATTATAATAATTTGACAGTTGAATTGTACACTTAAATGCTACCACTATTGCATATTTATTACATTAAATATTTGTTATTGTTGGACATACCTTCTTATTTATGCACTCTAAAAATTAGATGAAAATGGCGCAAAACCCTCCTCCTGTCGCTCTAAGTAATGCTAGCGCGTAGTGAAGTTCGCGTCGGTTGGTCGCGTTCAGTTTGTTTAATTTTGAGGTGCCAACTGACTCCCATTGCCTACATTTGCCTAATTATGTGCCATCTTGCTTTCTCAAATAAATGCAACGTTTAATTATGAAAATGCGATTAGATGAGAAATCCGAATGCATCTACACACGTCACTGGTTTCTCTACTAGGAGCATTAAGTCTGTTGCCGTGTTGCAGATCACGATGAAGGAGATCCTGAATCCGATCAAGCAGGACGTGAAAAAGGGCAAACCGAGGTTCGTGGCGAACTGTTTCCCGCACCACGGCTACATTTGGAACTACGGCGCCCTGCCGCAGACCTGGGAAAACCCCGAGCATCTGGACGACGGTACCGGCTGCAAAGGCGATAACGATCCGATCGACGTCATCGAAATCGGCTACAGGGTGGCGAAAAGGGGCGAGGTCCTGAAAGTGAAGGTCCTGGGCACTATCGCGCTGATCGACGAGGGCGAAACCGATTGGAAACTGATCGCGATCGACGTCAACGATCCGTCCGCCGATCAGCTCAACGACGTCGCCGATATCGAGAAGCATTTCCCCGGGCTGCTGAAGGCGTCCGTCGAGTGGTTCAAGATTTACAAAATCCCTGACGGCAAACCGGAAAATCAGTTCGCTTTCAACGGAGAAGCGAAATCGGCTTCTTTCGCGCACAAGATCATCGACGAGGTGCACGGTTTTTGGAAATCGTTGGTTAGCAAAGAGGTCGACGCCAAGGGTATTTCTTGGTAATCATCTATGATGGGGTTTCTCCATAAGTCCTTAATCGAGCTTGTATAGAAGTGAATCGTTTGTTGCATAATGGAGATAAAAATAAGTAAAAAAGTTCATATGAAGTTGTGTCGAAAAACGCGTCGTTTTTTAAAAAAAATTCTCTAAATTTTGCTTTCAAACAAAGTTGTGGCCTTTGTGAGACCGTTTTAATTAATTTAAATCATAAAAAGGTGATACGCCAATAATTTATGGTTATTTTGTTAGTGCATTTGAAGACTCTTGAAATTACATTGAGATAATTTGCTTTATTTGAATTCTATTAAATTTTATTATTTTAAAGATAATTGTGATAATGCCTATTTAGAAGAGATTTTTTTTAATAGAAAAAACTATTTGTTTTTGCAATATTTCGACATCCTTTCAGCATTTTAGGAAATAAGTTTATATGAACTTTTTTACTTATTTGTATCTGCAGAATATTGTGCTAAAGTTTATCTAAATCAGTAATTGCGCTCAGTTCAGTCAGAGGTGGATCCGGTTTGATCTGCGTATTTTTTTTTTATCAATTATTGGAATATGAAAAATACTTTTAAAAAAATTGCATCTATTATTTTTGCTTCTTTTCGTCGTACTTTCAGACTTTTTGAAATTGTTCAAAATCTAGTTGTGGAAGATCAAATATAGAAATTTTATTTGATGAGATTGATTAGTGACCAAAATTAAGTTTTATTGGTGTTTCAAAATACAAAGTATTTATCGCAAAGACTATTCTTATTGCATAAGTGGCTCTTGACTCGAATAGGGAGAAATGACAAGACTTCATTGTTGGTAGTGTTTCTTGGATTGTGTATAAGAAATATTATCTTTAATTATTTTTTGGAATCACGTCATTATAATCTTCAAATGAAAAATTGTCGTAATACCTTAATTTAAAATCCATTTGCAATGATCCATTCAACCGAATTTGATAAGTCCCTGCCCATTGCTGTATCCTAAGCTTCAATATATTCACATTCACTTCTGTGGTATCATGGGCAAAGATATATTTCTGATTTTTATTTGCCTTTTCAATGTCATTGATATACGGATCACTGAAGTACTCCATGGGTTATGGTCCCCCCAACAGAAGGCTTACCTTCATAAACAGTGTGCAAGATTCTAGTTGATTTAATTTTTTTTTATTAGCTTTAAGCTGTTTTCACTGATATCATAAAATTCTAGCTTTTATGATAAGGCGCCAAATCGAGCTCGTGTAGGAATCATTTAAATTGAATTGAATCGTTAATAATTACATCCAGATGCAGGAGAGGTAAATCTGCTCGAAATACATTTTTTCTACTCCCGTGTGTAAAATGCCTAATTACGCACCGATCTAGCGTGCGGGAAGCGCCACTTTACCACGTCAGTTTTCTTTCCCACGGATCTATTTCATAAATCATAAATCATCATAAATAAATAAATATCATAAATAAAATCTTAAAAATTGCATTTAGAGTAAAGTATATAAGAAAAAATATACAAAAATCACAAAAATTACTGTTGAGGAACATAGAGGCAGGAAAATATTTTCTTAACGAATAAGAACTGTAAATGAGCTATATGCCTTTGCTTTTTTTTTAACAAACTCATCGTTTTAATTATTTCAAAGGACTAGGAAGGTGGAAAAATTTAATATACGGTTTTTGGATCTTTTTATCAGGTGCTTTGTGAAAATGCTCAAAATTAACTTAGGTCATATTAAAGAGGACTTAGTATACAAATTTGAGTTGATGCGATGGATAGGCGACCAAAACTTTCTCCGAGGTCAGCATAATAATAAAAAAGAAACAGTAAAAACGAAATTCCTTTCCAAAACACTTTTAAAACGAAGCAAAAGAATGAAAAACACCGCGGAAAAAAAGAAGTTGTTCAATTGTAGAACCCTTCTTGACATTTTTCTGTTTTATGGTTACTAAACAAAATGCGATTTCACAAAAAACCACTGCCTGCCAACAATGAAGTCTCAGATTTAGCGTGCTCCGTACTTTCCGAGCCTCCCATGCGGCAGAAATATCTTTGGAGTTCTTGGTTTTACGGTAATTGCAAAATTTATTTCAGCGTGAACACCACCCTAGATGGGAACTCCTTTAAGGTGCCCAGGAGCGAAGCCCAGGACGTTATCAACAAAACGCCCGAGTATGCAACCGCCCAAGCGCTGGACCCTATCGGTAAGCCAATTAAATTATACTACAGGAGGCTAAGGCCGGACCAATAGGGTCCTGAGAAAATCGCCTCATAATAATTGAACTTTTAAAAATTGCCACTAGTGGCGCACGTGATCAAATATATACAAAAATTGGTTGCTTTTTTAATTGTTTGTTGCAAAACACCGAGCACAAACGACGAATTGCAAACCAGGGATGGAAAATTTCGGAACTCAGCTGTGTAGATGTTTGTTTCTTCTTACAAACTTCTGTATCTTACATCCAAAGGAGACTAGACAAGTGCTTCATAGAATAGCTGGAAGTCCAAAGCAATTATCTTTTCTCCCTTCGCAATGAGGATGAGGGGACGCGTGTCATTCTTTTCTTACGTCAAGAAATCTGAGTTATGCAAAAAACTCAGAATTACCAACAAACGACAATTCATAACCACTCAAATGCCCACGTGAACAATTGTTTGTGTGTTTAGAATGTGATTTACGTGTTGGTTGTGCAAATATTAGAAGCTCGTCCCTTCTCCTTTGGATCTTATGTATGTAATTAAACACCGTTTCCATTTTTACCTTGTTTTTTCAGTGGATAAAAGTTATTTTGTCAGCAAGCTGTAAACATACTGCTCGCGTGTGGTAAAAAACCTTTTGGTTTGATGTTGGTTAGTAGACTTAAAACTTACCTCATCTGTGACGTCAAATGGTTTGTCCGTTGCGCTTTGGGGGTTAACTTTTTTTACATTTTTGGATGCTTCATCTATCGTCTCCATCGAAAATGTTTCGCGGTGTTTTTTATGCTTCACTAAACTTCAAAGTCCCCGTTGGCATGTGTAAAAAATAATTTTCTTTTTATATTTCAGTGGATAAATGGCACTATGTTCACTTGAAATAGTAATTCCATGGGATTCGGGACTTCGGCATTTAAATACGCCTCAGCAAAATTGAGGAGTAGCGGGGAAAATTTATATGTTTTTTTAAATAATTTGTAAGAATAAAGTGATGGTTGAAAAGAACAGCGGGACTTTTATTTTAGAAAAATTAATTGACAATTTTTATGACTGCTACTATCAAATTATAACTCTCGAAATAATAACTTCAAAAAAAGTTTTTAAAATTGAGGCAAAACTTTGCTTTGATGTCAAATCAGGTCGTTTTTGAAACAACCCCGTTTTTTTTATTAAATGCTTAAAAAAGCTACTTTCTACCTGAAACGCAAGAAATTAGCCATGCTTAAAGCTACAGTTTGAATTTTTCATTAGATATTGTTTCATGCTGATGATATTATAAGGTTTGCACATTACATCATATGTGAATCAACAACTGACCACCATTGTTTTCCACAAATGGTCTTTTTGTTAAAAAACTACTACGTTCCCATAAAAGAACTATTTCTCTTAGCTTACCCGTATAAAAAAATCAATTTGGCGTAAATTTTTTGTCATTGATTATCTTGGCATAGAACGCCACTGGATAATTTCCCCGACTTAAAGCTATTTGATATATTTAAGATTAACCAAAAGCAGAGAATGTAGCAATAAAAATTTCACTTTTCTTTAAGTTAGAATCAAATATTAAATTGTATTTTGTCGTTACTTAGCGTCGTACATTTGTTATAAAATTTTAAATTTAGATCTTTTGCTTAATGCAGTTCTCAAAAAAATCTTTCTAACCGTTTTTTACAATTTTCTTTCAAGTCCGTCTCTGTGACCCTTTGGCCGGTCTGGAGCACGTGGACTCAACGTCCCTCTCCCCCAGAATGCGCGTGCGGCGATCTTCGGATGCTGGCCGAGTCGGCTTCGCTTTAATCAAAATTTGTGTATTTTTGCGTGCGAGTACCACGGTTTTTTTTTGCCCACGTTTTATGGAAATTCCGATTTTTGTGGCGACGCGAGATGCCGAGCATCCACGGCGGGGTAAGTAAAAAAGTCGCGACCGAGTTTTGTTTACAAAAATATTTTTATTACAAACCGCCGCGATGTTTTGTTTTGGTTTGCAATTATTAAGTTATGCCTAATATCGGAGAGGGCTCTGCCTCGCCGACCTGACCAATTTTTAGATAAGGGAAATTATTATTTAAGAATCTAGAAGGCTTTTATTGGGTCACGTCAAATTGTACAGTTTTACATCGTTATTTGTGTGCGAGTGTTTGCTGTGGGTATGTTACTCTTTTTTTTTACGAATCGATTCAATTGACAAGAAATATTCGGTTGTCTGTCTTTGCGTAACGACGCATCGTAATGTAACCACTGTTCGTGGTTTCTTTAATTAACGGGGAGCGTAATTATTGCATACATACGAATTTGCAATAATATATATAACAAAGAAAGTGGAATTTGGAAAAGTGTCCGGTCGGTTTAATTGCGTGGCCTTTTTAAGTTACACATCTTAAACTTTGCTGGGTGACGTTTAAAATTAAAAAAATCGCTCTGTTCGTGATAGTTTGTTTTGATGACGTTGACAAATGACGTTAGGTGTTGTGTCTTGATTCGAATTTTGAGCTGCAACACGATTTTACTAGCATTTGCAGATTTAGTTGCTATGGATCTGATTTTGAGGTGATTTTGTTTCGCAAGTTTTGCTCTCATCGGCGCTCTGATCACAGATCGAACAGCAAGCTCGAAATTACCATTAGTTTATTAATCGGTTCGATTCGCTGTACTCAAGAGCGGCGGTTTATTTTCAGGGTCCCGCCTTAATCCATGAGCGCACAGCGATCCAAATGCTGCCCACTATCCTACAGAAGCATTCCATTAATTCTTTGCTTGACAAACACATGTTGCCCGAAATGCGCGGTAAGTTTTGCGCCGAAAAAGTAATGCCCGTTTTCTTTTTTCCGTATGTATATGTGCAACACAAAAAATTCTCGGCAAAATTAAAAATTAAAGTTCCGGAGTAAACATAGGGCCGGTAAACAATACTTTCCTGCAGAGTTTAGTAATTCCACAGGTCAGTTGACGGTCGTTCAAGTGTCGCGTTGTTGTTATATGGGAGGTTCTTTATTACCTTTTAATTTGTTATGCTCAGCTGATCGAACAATCCGTCAGTTTTTTTTACATTCATTAATCCACAGCGCACTTTTTTGTAGTTTTATGTTACGTAAATAGGTATTTTTGACATAGATATTTTGACAATCCGATTGGTGTATCTTACAACCGTAAGATGGCTCTGGTTGTTAGGTAATTCGCGGCAGATTAACTACTTGATGTTACTGGTCGCGAGCGTAGCTGAGCGAGATAGCTTTAGCGGATTAAACGGGCGATAAAAATGATCGTCGGCAAAAAGCGTCAGCAAGAGTTTTTTCTCTTGCTCCCGAAAAAAAAAAAACGTGTCGTTTTTGCGATTTTCGATCGCAGTCGGCCGTGCACAAAAACTTCGTAACTCGCCGGTAGGTAGTCCGCTAGCAATTTTAGACATTTAATGTGCGGCTGTTGCGACAGACGGTTGATTTTTTTTTACGAGTTTTAAGGCGATTCCGAATTATGGCAGGTGAACAACGGGAGGCGACCTCGGTCGCTGATCTCTTCGGCTTAAACTCGCCCCGCGGACTCCTCAACTTCGGCAATTCACAGTGGAGCCCCGGGAGCCCGCAAAGTGTCCAGGTTTGTTGTATTTTTTAAAGCTTTTCCCGATTTACAATGTTTACGAAGTCTTGCCCGTTTTTGGCGTCGGCCAAGCGGGAGTCTTGCCAACGCCTTTGCCGTTACGAGCCTCGTCCTCGGACGGCGTCTTTAAAAATGCCCCATTAAATTGCGCGCATAATAATATACGGGCAGTAGTAATTTTTGTCGTCCGAAATTGGGCCATTTGAGCGATATCATTCGGTTTGTCGTCTCGCTATAATACGCCCTCCGTCTAATAGTGCAGAGTGATTTGTTTTCCGCCCTGCCAATCCGTTATCTTTGCTGCGTTACTTAAATGCAACTCTTTTTTGCGTTTTTTTTTTATAGACTTTCAATATTGTAATTCAAATTTCGCCGACAACAAGCGACGATTTTTTCGGATTTGCCCATATAGCTATTAGTTAACATAGTGGCCTTACTGGAGCAAAAATTGATGCGCCGCAGGCGGCGTTGATGTTTTTGTAGAGAAGGTAATGATTTTCTGCGCTTGCTACATTTTACCCACTGAACCTGCACTTCGCGCGAATTTATTTCTAAATAGCGATTTACACATACTTAACTCATTTTGAGAAAATACTGCCGTAAAAATGCCTTATCCAAAGTTATTGATGATCTGTCAGCGGCCATGTTGTTTGTTCAACGTCGCAAGATCATTGGTTAAAAACGAGACTACAAATCTAATAAAAATTCCATGTTATTTATGTATTAGCGGCATGGGCAGTGCCTCTATATCTCTAGTAGCTATGTGGGTTTTCAATTTTTTTGTGTAAAATGTTTTTCCATAAATTTAAAAAGAGTATATAATTTTAAAAGTTTCAATCGTCGGGTAATTGAACTTGAAAATCGGGAATTACAATATTCAACTTGGGATTCTATAATTGTGGGAAATTGGAAGTTGAAAGTGCAGTATTTAAAATTTTAAGTTGCGAATTTGAAATTTCCTAGCCCAGAATTTCAAGTTGCGACTAGGAAATTCCAATTTACAAAGTTGACACTAGGGAATTCGAACTTGCGAGTCTAAAATTTCAAGTAAAATCCAAGTTGCAATTTGGGAATTTGGGAGTTTTAAAGCGAGATTCAAAAAGTTGAAAATCGGAAATTCTTGTTTTCGACTTTGGAATTCATAGTCATAGATCGAAAATTTACGTCAGGAATTTGAAAATTCAAGTAAAATCCAAGTTACGACCTGGGAATTCGAAGTTTTAAAGCGGGAATTCAAAAGTGAAGTCGAGTATTCCAAGTTGCAAATCGGAAATGCGAGTTTTTCACTTGGGAATCCATAGTCGACGCTAAGGAATTCGAATTTGCGAGTCCAAAATTTCAAGTAATTTTTTTAAAGCGGGAATTCTACAGTGTAAGTCGAGTATTCAAAGTTGCAAATCGAAAATGCGAATTTTCGACTTGGGAATCCATAGTAGGTGCTGGGGAAATCCAAGTTTTTAAGTCAGGAATTTGAAATTCCAAGCCCCGAATTTTAAGTTGGCACTAAAGAATTCGAATTTTCGAGTCGAAAATTTCAAGTAAAATCCAAGCTGCGACTTGAGAATTCGAAATTTCCATAGCCGGCGCTGGGAAATTCCAAGTTTTAAGTTAGGAATTTGGAATTTCAAGTTGGCACTAGGGAATTCGAATTTGCGAGTCGAAAATTTCAAGTAAAATCCAAGCTGCGCCTTTTGAATTCGAAGTTTTAAAGCGGGAATTCAAATGTGTAAGACGAGTATTCGAAGTTGCAAATCAAAAATGCGAATTTTCGACTTGGGAATTCATAGTCGGCGCTGGGGAATTCGAAAATTCCTGACTTAAGAATTTGCAGTTAAATGGCGACGACATGAAGTTCCAAACGGGCACTTTGAACTACGCGAATGCGCCGCCAGGTTTCAAAAATCTAGAGAGAAACCCGTTGGGCAGCGCCGGCTCGAGCCCCGTCACCCCACCGGCCTTCCGTTCCAGAGCTCTGCGCGGCACGTCTTTAAGGTACCGCCCCCGCAGTAAACCGAGGAACAAGAAGCATCCTCAATATTTTTTTTCAGCGATTCATACGGCAGCAACAGTCCCGCGGTTCTGGATTCGCCGTTCGTGAGCAATACTTCCGAATCGGAGTTTGGCGGGCACCAAGACGTAAATCTGTCGGATTTGCTGGTACGGTCGATGGAGTGGTCCCTGAAAACCTCCCACAATACGCGGGTTTTTATGTTGCAGAATTCGTTGACTTTAAATGACAGTACGCCGAGGAATTCGTCGGGCGGATGTGACGACCATGACGCATCAAATCCGCAAAACCTTCAGACGCTCAACGCGTTGATGTGGCTGCAGCAGCAACCGCCCGCGTTGCTTAACTCGCTCCTGTTCGCCGCCTCCGGGCAAAACGGCGGCGGAGGCGTCCAGGTATGAAAGCAACAGCACATTTGGCAACCTCCAATTCGAACCGCACACTTTGCATATCGGGAATTCGAGGTTTCGAGTTGGGAATTGAAGTTTATAACTCGGGATTTGCAGTTTTCACTGAAAATTCGAATTTGTTGCGGGTAATTTAACGTTGCAATTCGGGAATTCAAGTTTTCCACTGGGAATTGATAATTGGCATTAGGGAATTTGAGGCTGTAAATCTGGGAAGTCTAAATTCGACGTTTTCAGTCAGGAATTAGAGAGAATTCAAACTTCAGTGCCCTTATCTGCCCGCTGATTTTATAGAATAAATGTATGAAAAAATCGTTTAATCTCATCGTATAATAAAAATTCCTTTATCATTGATTTCAAAAAACAAAAAGGTTTGTCACGGATGGGAGGATAGAGGGGTTATTATGGACACATTATGTACTAGTTTCTACTTATAAACGTACACTCAGTACACCCAATCGTAAATGAAGGGTGTCGATATGGGCTTCATCCTATTGTTCAAATAAATAAAAGAACAATTTCAAGTTGGAAATTGTGAATTCGAAGCTTCAAGTCTGGAATTCCAAGTTGCCACTATGGAATTGGTAGTTACGAAGTTGCCAGTGAGTTTTGAATCGGGAATTTGAAATTACAACTTGTCCAGTTTTCTTTGGGACACTTTTGTCGACGGCAATATCGTGACTCGTAGTTTTAAAATTTGCGTGGGTCTTGTTTAATGGAATTGTTTTCGTGGTGTTGTTTTAGTCGCTTGACAAATGGAACAACAACACGTCGGTTTTTAATTCGCAGTCGGAGAGCTTCCAGTTGGACTGCGCCGCGCGGTTTCATCGATGCGCCGCTTGTAAGTGCTTTATGTTAATTGACAATAAGTAAAATTCATCATTTCCAAACAATACTTTATTTATTTATTTTCTCGTTTTATTGGAGAACATCTTTTAAAGTAAATGCCCAAAAAATATTTCATAAAATAGTCTATATTTTAGTATTATTAATATGCTACCGTTGCTGAAGCAAGCGCGAATATTGTTTTGATTTATTTTATTTCTTAATTTGTTTTTTCTACATTTTTTTGAGTGTAAAAAGCGGGAAAACACTATAAAAGCAATAATAAAAACGGCAATATTTTTTCAAAGAAAAAAAATAATTCTATTCACAAAACTTTGAATTCCCCCGGTTGTTGAATCGAACTTGCTGATGTTTCACAAATCATCCTGTTGGCTTCTTCAGAGCTTAAGTGAAACTAGCTCGCATTGTACTCTGTACCTGCTTATATGTTGTTGACCGACCGAAACTGGTAAGATAACTCTGTACATTGATCATTTTGTTACGTTTTCTTAAAATATACCATCCTGTCAAAACCTCATCCGCATATAAAATTCTTCGTAAATGTAGTTGTGCTTTACTTCGAGTAAGAATTCATCATAGCCGTAAAAATAAGACTCTACATTTTGTAATCTTGTCCCCATCCGAGTTTGATACTCTTTCAAACATGATTCATGACAAAGCTAAAAATCTCCGTTTATCTTCTACACAGAATCACATTCGAAAATTTGAAAAACTAACGTCAACATTGGTGAAACCATCAAACTCTTCTCAACTACCAAACAGTGTGGTCAATATATCGTTGCACCAACTTATCCCAAAAGAGCCTAGCCTAAACAGACTGCCATCGCAAACAGCTAATGAAATTCTATTTGAAACCGCAAAAATCGTTTATAAGTCAGTCTAAAAGCAGGTAAATGAAATGTTGGTCATGAAAATCAGGAAATTATTTAAGATATTTTTACAGACAGATCCTATCGTCAACTTAAAAAAAGGTCCTACGTCATCGATGGAACGCAACCTTAAATCTGTTATTAAGTCTTCTCTATCTGACTCCGTGACAAAGACTGCCACCCCTCATGACTCAAAAAATTCCTCGTCTCTACTGACTTCTATGTCTGTGATTACTGTCATTTTCATGAAATATTGCGCTGCATGGCGGGATATTTAGAAGATATTTACAGATTTTTTATCCAATTTTTAAAAAATTCATTTATCATGTCGTGATGGTCGTCTAATGAGTAGTTCTTAATGATTTTTGCTAAAAATAGCATCCAACCTTGTCTAGAGCCACAGTGTAAAATAGATATTCTTTTGCCATACTGTGTGTGGTGTCGTCTAAATAATATGCATTTATAAAAAAAATTGGATATTAATTTTTCAAAGAAATTTCCACTGTAATACTTTTTACAAAACCTCTGGATTCATCCTGCGTCGGTTTTTGCTGAGTCGAACTTGCTAACGTTGGCTTCTTCAGAGCTTGACTGAAACTGGCTCGCATTTGACTTACCTGCTTATATATTGTTTGAGGGGGCGGAGCTAAATGAGGGGCATAAACACCGTCTCGGATGACTGAGTCGACTAAGATCAGACTCCGTGAAAAAATCTGTCGCCTCTCTTCTCGTCTCTTTGGACTCAAAGATTCACAAACCAGGATTACCCCCTGGACCTATTGTCAGCTCCATTGGATCTCCAACATAGCAAAATATTTACCCTCTATATTGAAACCCTTTGCATGGAAAACTGATAATTTTGTACTTAATTCCTTTCATTTCATTGAATAATTAAAAAGAATTACATTGGATCCACAAGATATTCTGGTTATTTTACTAAAATCCATATTCCTGAAACTCTACATTATTTCAGATGTATTCAAATCAAACATTCCTTCCCAGCATAATTGTCTACCACATATTTTACCTTAACGGTCAAATTTTGGTACAAACGTCGGGAACCGCTGGTTCTCCATTATCACCAGTCGTCGCGAATATATTTATGGAAGCTTTTGAGAAGAAAGCTCTAGAATTCCTCCATCTAAAACCAAAAGTATGGAAACGGTTGATGGTACTTTTGTTAATTGGCCTCATGGTCAAGAATCCCTACGAGATTTTCTTAACCATTTACAGTCACTGAATATCTTACCTCTGATAACTTCCACATTAGAGATATTCACTACAACGTTCCAGAGGCAGGCGGCGGGCAATCACACACTTGCCACTCTTGTCCTTCCTTACATTCAAAATATCACTGACCACATATCAAAAGTTCTTAAGAAATATAACCTCGAAAAAAAAATTCTCAACATGCTCGATCTGTCAGAGACGAAATTCCGTTTGAGACACCAAGAGCTTACAGCGGCAAATAATACATTGCAGACGAAAAATATCATCTAGCCTCAAAGAACATGAAAGAAGCTTAAGACTACGACAAATAAACTCATTAGTAGTTGCTGAACTCAATCAAGAAACCGAAAATTTTAGTCGATAAACCTAAAATTCTTGCATGTAATCAATCTATTCTTCCACCAAGGAAAAATCCGAAAATCATTAGAAATTTTTAATCAACCAATCAATCTCAACCGAGCTTCAGACAATGTTCATGCCCCTCCTTTAGCTCCGCCCCCTCAAACAATATATAAGCAGGTGCAGAGTAGAATGCGATCCAGTTTTAGTCAAGCTCCGAAGAAGCGGCTAAACGTCAGCAAGTAATAATAAATTGTTGAAAATAGTTAATTTTTGTGTCATAATCGTTATGTGTGCGCAGCCGTCTACGATGCGATGTGCACGTGGAGCGGCAACCTACCGTTCCGCACCGACAAACCGAACGGCTTCTCGTGCAAAGTGTTCCTGGGGGGAGTGCCGTGGGACATTTCCGAACAGTGCCTGGTCCAAACGTTCAAACCGTTCGGCCCCATCAAGGTGGAGTGGCCCGGCAAAGAGAGGGACGCCTCCCAGCCCAGAGTAATAACCTCAGATTTACTCGTAAAATCTTGTTGCCGGTTTTGGTTTATTCTCGATGTCCAAAAAAAAAAAATCAAAGGCTTCAAACTCTGCCACCAAAGTTGCGTCGCTGTCGGCACTTTCGAAGAACATTCTAGCGGCGTTTTGTTTCGCAATATTAAATAAACCCGCTAAATATACTCTATTCTTATGGGGTACACTTTATCTTTTCCTTTCATGTAGCAGGCGTGCAAAACACATTACAATAAAAACTAAAACCGCAAATTTTCAGATATATTAGACCTTTAACATTGCTTTATTCAGGTTTGGAATACTAAATATTAGGGACCTTTTGCACCTCTTATTTTGGCATTACTAAAGTTTAAGGCGAAAGTGATGTTGTCAATAGTAATACGATAAGTTTCAAAAATAACAAATATTGTGGATTTTGATTTTCAAAAAAAAAAAAAAAAAATTAGTTTGTGTTGCAAATTTAGTTGCCGCTGCGGGGGAGGCCTAAATACGTTTTTAAATCCAAATTGGAAAATGTCGCGCAAAATAATATTTCTTATAAGGTAGCGATTTTCCATTGCGACAAGCAGTTTTTTTTTTATTTAAGTAATGTAAGAAACCTAGATTTATCAAACCTTTTGACGTAACGTCGACAAAAAAGAACGTGCAAAAACTAAAAATATTTGAATTCAAAACAACGTCAGAAAAGTTAGGGTCATTCGGCCAGCTTACACAAATGGAAAATTCCCAAAAGGATGCCTTCTTAAAGTGACTACCGATCCTATCCGACCCGGCTAGCGTTGTGGAATTGACTGGTCAATTTGATATTTATTTATTTATATTATGAGAACTAAATGGAGTCAATATTTTTATTGGAAGGACCAGAATCGCTAGGATCGCATTCGAATATGCCTTGAAGAGGGTTATAGGTAAACTGGACGTCACAAACGCATAGCAATTTATTACAAAATACATTTTATTATTAAATAATGATAGATAACACTCTACAATTGCAAGATATAGGCCTGGGTACCAGCGTAAATATGAGATATTCGAAGCCATAAAACAAGCACTTAAGTGACGTAGGGGTGAAATTTCATAAGAGGTGCAACAAGTCCCGATGATGATTATGATTAATTTTGTTTATCACACTAAATTTTTTTGGCAACGCTCGTCAAAAGCTACTATAAAAAATATTTTTGAAAATCCAAAACAAGACTTCAACGTCCAAAAGCCGTTAGAATCTTTAAAACTGTGTAACATTGATTCCCGCCGTTACCGTCCCCTTCTAACCACGTTACGCAGGGCTACGTATACATCATCTTCGAGTCGGAAAAGTCGGTCAAGGCGCTCCTTCAAAGCTCCACTATGCAGGGCGGCAATTGGTACTTCAAGCTCGGTTCGAAGCGGCTCAAGTACAAGGACGTGCAGGTGATCCCGTGGTGCCTGAACGAGGCGAACTACACCAAGTCGGCGTCGCAGAAGCTTGACCCGAGCAAGACCGTGTTCGTCGGCGCGCTGCACGGCATGATCAACGCCCAAGGACTCGCCAAGGTCATGAACGACCTGTTCGACGGCGTCGTCTACGCAGGCATCGACACCGACAAGTACAGATATCCGATCGGCTCGGGCAGGGTGATGTTCAACAATTACCGGTCTTACATGAGGGCGGTGTCCGCTGCCTTCGTCGAGATCCGGACGACCAAATTTACGAAAAAGGTGAGGAGCGCATCTCTTGTCTTGTCTCATTGTCGTATATAGTACGTCACTTATCGGGTAGAAAAATTAAGGTTATAGTCTATTCGTGACTAAAAAAGAGTGATAAAATTATTTGTAAGGAACATGAGGTTTCTAATTTTTTGGTTAGTTTGGTTAGCTGTTAAATAACATGCGAATAAGGTTTGTGAGTAAGTTATTTACAATAAAATGATTAAAAAATCACAACCTTCCCAAGTTAGGTCACAATAACATTTTTCTACTCCCGTCTGTAAAATATCTAATTACACATCGATCTAGCCTGCGGGAAGTGCCACTTTACCACGTCAATTTCGTTTCCCACGGATCCGAACCACTTCCGGACATTTCCGGAATTTTACCGCACGGATTTGGAAGCAATCGGATGTTTTCGGAGATATTTCCCACGCTTTGAATTTTGACGTTTGTCAATTCTGTCGGTCAATGTATTCGTGTTGTTTTACGAAAATGTACCCAAAAACTAACGGTCGTAGAAAAAGTATAGTATGCAACACGTTCGGTAAACTTTTTAAGTCACTCGTTTATTAAAAATTCGCTCCGCTCGTGTCAAATAAACTCATTAATCACCGCACTTGTTGCATAATATACTATAATCATTTTTTATAGCCGCAGCTTTTAGAACTAGAGCTTTTGGTAATTTTTCGTTTTTTCCTGCTGGGCTAACTGTACTGCAAAATTCCAAACCTCTTCCATTGGTTTAAATTTACGACTTTTCCCTGCTTTCCGTTATGAGGTAAAGAACACTTTGACAAAAAATGATCGTTTTGGCAGATATCCCAGAACGCGGCATCACTTTTTTGTTGTTTAACTTTTCCACCCTTTTCCGGCATTCGTTTACAAGATAAAACAAAGTTTATTTTTGCCTTTTTTTATCTGTAAAATCCCAAACTGTGGCATTACTTTATTTTTAATTTTTCGACTTATCAAGTCATTTTCCGGCATTTGGTTTTTTGTTGTACTTTTACGGAAAAATTGTGACACAAGAAATGCCCTATTTAGAGGATCATAATTTCCAAAAATTCGAACACCAACCGCAGGTGCACAGCTGTTTTTTACACACTTCAATTGAGTATTACATTAATATCTAGATCATCATCCAAGGATCGTCATGTTATAAAACACTCCGTTTATTATTCGACTAAATCAAAGAAAATTTAAAATCCTGATTTAGCTAATTACCCCGACCGCCGCGAGGCGGCGCTCCCTTTAGGTCCAAATCGATCCGTACCTGGAGGATTCGCTGTGTACGGTGTGTGGCGTGCAACAGGGCCCGTATTTCTGTCGCGACCTGCACTGCTATCGATACTTCTGCCGTTCCTGCTGGAACTGGCAACACTGCCTAGAGCTGCGCCACCACACGCCCATGAGCAGGAACTCGAAGAACAAGCGGGTCGGCAACTTCAGCATGAACTGATTTTTTTTTATTAATAAAAATACGTATTTCCCTCGTGGCGCTTGACAGAATAACAGTTCCACCGCTTATCGGGACGCGCACCGCCACCTGACCGTCACGGGGGTGTGTTATTTGTTTTCCACTTTTAGGTTAGGATTCGGAAGGTTCCCATTGGCAAACCTTCGCTTGTCTGCGTTTTTTGATATTTCCCCTGTACGATACTTGATATTGACAAGTTTTTTGGCGGGAGACGCCGCGAAACCGTCAATCCTTTGCCCGGTGTAAATATTGACAAATTCTCGTGGATTCTGGTAGCTTTTAATAAAAATTTTGACATTTCGGAGTCGCGACGTCCCTTTTTCGTTCGTCGACGGTGTTTTTTTTGTAAATCAAAAATTCAGCAACGCTATTTTTTCTCTACCGCTATGTAGTCCACGTCTCTCTGTAATTTTAAACGGTATATATATATTTTTTTTATTTTATAAGGTTTTACGGAATTTCGGGAAAGGTTTGGCGGATCGGTTTCCCCCGCCGCTACATCAGTTCGATTTACACTCGCAAACTGATTTTATAATTTGGTCGTCACGATGATAATCGAGTTTATTGTGTAGTTTTTAAGTGTACGCGTCGTCCGTTTTTAGAGGTGGATCTCACGTGGGGAGGGGCAATTTTAAAAAATGAAAAAAAAAACGACGCCCTTATAAATTTATGGTGTCGCTTTGATTTTCGAATTTCCGTGGTCGTTCCCAAACGCAACGCAGGTTATCGTTGTTTTTTTTTTTTTTTTTTTGAAGGACCAAATCGTTGATCTTTTGACAGCCCCCCTCCACGCTCCCGATCGTTCGATCCACTGTTAAATAATGGATTTGAATTTCATTAAGGAAAAAGTGGGATTATGTAATAGGGTTTAATATTGTTATCTAGCGTTTTAGGAGAGAGTTTACGGTTTAAACTGTATTATGAACAAAAAAAAAAAAGGTATAATATTGATGTATTTAATCATTAACGAGTTGTTTTATTGCAGAGTTTAACATGTATCTTATTATTCGTATTTAACCCGTTTTGTAAGTTGTTTATTAAACAAAATATTTTTTTGCACATAACTTCACACGCTTTTTTATTGCAGCATGTCCCACCTCTTCCGGGTGGCGGGCTCCCAGCTCCCTGCACGTGCATGCTCCCAGTGAATTTCCCAGCATGAGTTTTTGTTCTGTTTTTTTTTTTTAGGTTTTTAGGTAAATTGGACTGGTATTAGCGGCGATACAGTGAAAGCTCTATTACCCACCGTCGCTTTTAGGTTAAGGTTTTAAAATGTACTATTAAGTTTGTTTTTAATCACAAGTTTTAGGACGGTTTATACCGTCGAGGAATGTGATATTAATTTATTCTGAGTCTTATCAGTATTGAGGTGTGATCACCCACTTTAATAACCTAGAATATGGACTGCCCACGATTAAATCTTAAATTCCGTAAATATTATAGAAATAATTAACTTTAGTTTTCAGTCCATATTGTAGATTCCCAGTCGGTGGCTGTAATCTCCGGTAAATATTGAGGGTTAGAAGACTGAGGGTCTGGTGCTATTTTAATTGAGGTTTTAAAATGTTCTGTAGTTCCATTAGCGGAGTGTTTTGTTGTTGTGTTTGAATCTTTTAGTTTAATCTCAATGGTATTTTAATGGATTAAAATCAAAACTGTATTTGTACATAGTTTCATTTTATTACTACCACAATATCAATGAAATATATCTATACAAAAATCAAAATCAACAAGTGAGGTTTCATTTTAACCATCTTTTGTAAATTATTAAATAAATGCCCAATGCCGAAGAGAATGTTCCAACTACGCCTACCTGCCACGGTTTCAACCTAGAAGACCACAGAAATCCTGGAGGCAAAGTACTTACTGCATGTGTAAAGTCCGCCAATAGCCTTGCCAGTGTCAACAACTGAAACTTCTTAATGACCTTGAATTTTTCCATGGGAACTCTGGAAACATTGATCTGAAAATGGTACAAGCGAACACACCATTTACCTTTTATCCTTCGCCACGCAACCCTTGTGTGTTTCCAAGATAACCAAATACCGTAGGGTCCTAAAACGTTCAAGTTGGGTTTACGTTACATGGGATATGTTTCCATGCAACTTTACTTAATTATGGTCAAATACGTGCCCAGCACCCAGCAGCACGCCGACGCGTTATCCCAACGCTCCCTGTTAAATCCTGTCAGGATTTGGTATTTTGAAAGCCATGAAATTTTCTCCAAAACCAGAAAAGTTTGGTCCAATATGTTCGTGGTGACTCCCAAACATGCCATCAACTTATCTGGTTCCTAAAACATTGGAGTTAAGCTCAATTCTGCAATTTGTACACTGCAACCGACATCGCGGCCGAGTCCATATTGAAAGGTATGTTTTATCACAGCTAAATCGTCCAAGAGCCGTAGAGTCGATCGAGTTGCGGACATCTGCGAGCTAAATATCGCAAACTTTTTCGCGGAATCGGGGTTTTTTTGAACGTCGCCTAGTAGCTTTGTTAAGTAACATAACGTTCTCAATACCTAAAATGGTTCATTTAAATTTTGTGGGGGAAAATTGTGATGAATTACCTTATCTCTACCCTTGTAAGTGTCTAAAAGCTGGTTGCTTTCGTTTAAGAAGTCATTCCAAAAGAAAACCATTTCGATTTATATTTGCATAACATAATATCCAGATATTTACGTTGAAATTACGCATAATTTACATTATTTTATCTAAAAACTTGTTAGGATTTTGCTATAATACAAAGGTTAAGTTTTACGTTTAGGGTAGTCGCTTTTAGCGCCATCTTTTTATTTGTTTTAGAAATTAATGGAAATGATAATTTACATATCGAACAAATCTACTAGAAACATTCGCCCATTGCTGTCTCGTGTCGACAATTTTTCCGTATCGTTCACGGACCGATACATGTACAAATGAAATGATTTCCTAAATAATTAAACTCTGGCCCCAACTTGAATGTTGAAAGATTCCACAAAAACGGATAACCCTCGCTTTCGCCCTTGCCAATCCGGGCCAAAAGTCCACTTAAATAACAAACGGAGCCACACAAATACATTGAACAACTTTTTAACCGATTACAGCAGATTTTGTAGGAAGCGGACTGGTTTTAGATTATTACAGAATTGTTTCAGAACAAATGTAATAACATTCGTTTATCTCATACCAAATCTATTTCATTCAAATATAAGTTTGGTATACCCGCTACACATTGGTAGCAATGCACCGGTTGGTTTTTATCTATGACTAGGTTAGATCATACCTTTATATTTTAGGTATATCTTTTGAATATCGAAAATGTCTTGAAAACAGAAGCACATAAACAGTATAACTATAAGGCGATTGATTTGGGTTAACTCCCTAATAGAGGCATATCTAATTACGTCCTTTAATTGAGGTTATATATTTCTGTATTATGTTCAAGTTTCACATTTCCATCTTAAAGCTACCTGGAAGCAATGGTTGGATGCCTTTGACTAGGATTAATGCTTTTTTGTCGTCTGTTGTTACTGAACCGAAGAGTAATGTCGTTATTTCTGAAGACGAGAATCATATAGAAAAGATTACCAATCCCAAACGTAATAATTTAGTGTCAGTAGCGTTCGCTTCTCTGCGGACAGAACAAGCGCTTAGTGCTATTTCAACCCCGTTTACTGATCAGAAAATTAAGAAATCCCAAACGGTGGATGATTTGTTGTCAATCTCTGTGGGGTCGGGTACTTCTAGGCGACATGCTCTTAAAGTAGTGTCGGTCCTGGCAGAATGGACGACCACGGGAAAAGTCAAATTGTCAGATTTTGAATCTGACAAGAGGTTTTTAAAGCTTTGCAAAATTTTGTCCAGGGGTAATTCGCAGCTGGATAAACCATCCAACAGCGAAAATTTATCTACAATCTTAAGTGTAACGGCAGATGATGAAGCTGCCAAAATGGTTGAAACTATCACCCTACCCCAGATGGTAAAGGTAATGTCAACACTATCAATGAAAAGGAGACGACCCAGTTTACTGCTACGAGCATTGGCCTACAACATGACCTCGAGCCCTCAAGCTCTTAATATAAAAGAATGCAGCGATTTGTTGTTCGCTATGTCTACGTTGCATTTTATTGACGAAAACTTATTAGCGAAGATAGCCGGAGATGCCGTCGCCGCTCTGCAACATGGCATTTTAAAGACGAGCTCTGTTGTTGGATCTATGTTGACCAGCCTGGGACATTTGAGATATAAAAATATAGGTGGGGAGAAAACTTCTTTGTTTCTTATGTTTAGTAATTACCTTTTAGACCTTCTGGAAGCTATCACCAATTGGGTGGAGAAAAATTATAATGTCTGTCGACCCCAAGATATTTTCGCTTTGGTGATGACTATGGGCATCTTGAAATTTGTTCCTTCAAATTCTGATAAATTATTTAGGGTAGGTTTTCATGTTCGCAAGATTTGCATAGAATGTCGATTTTTTAGATTGTAGAACCTCAGCTAACCCAATCGGAGGCGGGAAAGCCGATAGTTTGGTTAGAAATTGTTTGGTCGCTGGTGCTACTTAACCGAGCCAGCTCAGAACAAATAGCATCGGTATTACGTTCAGACTTTATAAACAGTATAATAGGTAAACATGATAACCCTAATGACAGTATAATCTAAAGGAAACCCCACAAGCCCTAAGTGAGTTAAACAAACTTAATATGTTTATTATATGTCAAATTCCTATTAATTAGTCAAGGACTTGTTAGGTCTCCTTTCAAATCTTCTTGCTGTTACCCAACGTTAAAAAAATGTTTTTAGAGGACAACTCCTTCAAAATTTCACACAGATTAAAACTTTTAAATATTGATGGTGCGGCGAGGCATCTTCAGGAAAATTATTCAGGGCCGCAACTGTTGCCTGAATTTAATTTGGATGATGTAAGGATAGAACTGTCCAAGGAGAAGTCTGTAATGGTCGGTTCTGTTATTGAAACTCTTAAAAACCTCGTGTCTGATGCTTACCTGCAGACCAGAGTAAACACCGGGCTTGGGTTTTATATAGACGCCGTATGCGTGCTTGATAAAAAGTGTATACCTCAACCAGTAAACGAACCCAACATAAATCCGGAATATTCGAGGTATTCTTAAATCTTTTGGTCATTTCCATTATGCATTGAGAGTTTTCTTAGGATCGCGATAATGGTGTACGACTATCACGATATGTGCGTTGGTCGAATAGAACCTACCGGCATTAGCGCTCTAGCCGAAAGTATCTTGAAGGCGAACGGCTACAAGGTTCTCGCCGTACCTTATACGGAATTCAAGCCCCGGGACAAAATCGTCTATCGAGTTCAGTACCTGGAAGGGAAGCTGAAAGAAATCGCCAGCGGCTCTAGTTAATTTGTTGTTTATTTGCGAGTAATTAATAAACTTTGTGTTTAGATAATTCGTTTCATTTCCTTTCAATTTCGCTTTGTCTAAAAAAGCGCTTAAAATCAACTTGTCAAAAAAGTAGGGTTGTCACCGAAACTTTTAAATTTTTAGGTGCCACCACATAACTACTAGAGATATAGGGGCCCTGCTTACGCTGATAATACAGGACCTTATAAAGTAAATATGAGAAACAAATTGAGGACTAATTGTTAGCCAATGATACTTGTAATTGTAAAATTGCAAATTCTCGCCTTCCAACATGGCCGCTGACAGACTGTCGATAAATTGGGATGCCGCATTTTTACGGCAGTATTTTCTCAAAATATGTCCAGATTCTATTTAATTTTTAAGCAAAAAGGAGTTGAGATGTAGAGCATTAAAAACAGAAATTACACAAACTTGTGAGAGTTCTATATACCTATAAATCTTTTGAATTAACATTGTACATACATAAGGCAACGTTTACGTGTATTCAGATATGTTTTTATTGCTTGCAGTTTTGACGGTAAACAACATTTTTGTCACACAAACGCGAGAAAATTATGAAGTATGAAGATAATAAAGACTACTTGTATTCTGTGACCAAAACAATAAAATATATCAAGTTTCCAACTATACGAAAATACCATAGCCACCTGCGGCGTAACATTTTTTCCGTGGTAAGGACACTATATTATCTAATAACTAAATTAGTGATACGGCTACGAACAGGATGACCAACTGTATCACAGAATGGATTTTGCAATGTGATATAAACACGGTGGTGGCTACAGAAAAATAAGTAAAATCAATGATTTTTAGAAATTCATTTCATATTTTCACATTTCCTCACTAAAGCAGCAAGCTTAATTCATAACCGTATTCATCATTTTATTGCGTATCATGTAAGTCTGACAGTTGCAAATAAATGGCATCGATTATACAATTCCTTAATCGGTAAGCTAATTCTTATTTCTTCCTCAAAAAGTTACACAGAAGATAAGCTGCTGCAGCTGAAAGGTGACCTCGAAAATGTCAATTGTTAACGACTAGGAAATAGAAGGCGTTAAATGTTTGATTTCATTGGAATCCGTTGTTGCCAAATTGTGCCGTTTGTACCAAATTGTATCATTCAATCCACTCAAAAACAAACTAACCAAATACTTGCCTATTCCTACACAAAAGTACATTCGTTCGGTTCGGTGCAAAAATTAAAAGATGCGTGTCCGGTTGCCTATACATCCACAGAAATGGCGCTGAGATGGAAAGTATTTTCAAGATTAATTTGGGTTAGAGCTGATTAATAAATTTTATTTTTTACGATAAATCCATCTACTAGACGTACGACGTCGACTAAAAAATCGAATTGTTTGTAAAACGGATTCTGCACGGGAAGTGAAAAGCGATTTTCCTTTTCGGGATATAAACTCTGGAATTTTCCGTGCGGGCGAGCGGAAATTTTTCGGTCACTTTTCCAGTTCGGGCTCATCGACGTCTCCGTCTCTGCCCTACATAAACATTCTCCCGTGTGTGTTTTGAGTGTATCGCGGTTGCCATGGTCGAATATTACCGTTTACGTTAAATCGATAAGAAAATATGAAATATGGCTTCGCAACAATGGTTTTGTGTTCGGCCCCCGACGATGATCTCCTCGCGTACCTCCAAAAGCGACCCACATAAAAGGCCCGCCCCTTAATTTCCCCTCCTAGACGATAACGATAACGTTTAACGTTAATGTTAATGCTCTAAGCGCCGTTCGACAAATTTCGAAACAAACGAAACAAATAATAACGGAAAATATTTGCTTTTAACCAAATTGCACAAAGCGGAAATACACTTTTGAAATGGGGAAATTAATAAGTGCGCCGAAACGTTTCCGTGACTCCGTGAGCGCGACCTAAATAGCCCGCCATTAAACAGCTTAATATTTTAGTAACCTCGGAGAAACGGTGAGGCCGCAAATTGCAGGTTGCGTGAAGAAAAAACAACTGGGCGCTTAATAGTTTATAAGACCCATCAGAAATATCACCTTCCGTTCTGTTTTTAGTGGCATTTCTAGAACATTCCTCGCTCGGTATTTTGTTCCTCGTAGAATATTCATCAGAAGTGAGCGGCCTCAACGTTACACTCGCCATCATTAGTTCCGATTTAGGAATACTGGCGTGGGTGTTAAAGATATAATTAAATCATCAGACCACAAGAGAGGGGGGTTATTATCATAGACTAAAATTCAATATAAGAATATCTAGTCTGTGGTCTGTGATCAGTAATGACTGGTAGATTCTAGACCAAAATGCTTTAACAAAATGTTGCTGCTTTAAAAATTACGGGGTGATTGAAGAGAATGAAATTTGGAAGGGGCTTTTGGGGGTGAAGAATCTTAATTTGAGGATTTGAGAATTGCTAGTTACCCCCGTTTCAATGGAATATTTTTATTATAACTTTTTTACCTTTTTCGCAATTTCGAGAAAATCGAAGTTGAAGGTATCACTGCATGCGGACCTTAGGGAAAATATTCTATTCCGAACTGAAGTAGGCCTTGACTCGAAAAATCGGACAAATAAAACTCGCCCCAGACGTCAATGTGAGGAGGATTTAACAATTAAAAAAAATACTTTGTTTTGTATTAATAATCAATAAATTTACAATAATAAATCAAAGTTTCCAGTATCAAGTAGCCTGAATACATTTCCTGATTCCCTTATTTAAATGGCGCTTTACTTTGAACAAGGTACCTTCTTTCTTGCGAATGGCATCTACGTTTTCATAAGTGATCTGTAGAAGATCCTCACCCAATGTGATTTCTTTCTTATAAACTGAGCCTACCAAGTGACCTCAAAGGTAGAAATCAATGGAGTTGAGGTCGGGGCCACCGGTTGGCCAAGGGAATTCGTTTCCACAACCTATCCATCTATGTGGGATACCTTCATCCTCGAAATCTCGAACCAATCGAGTATAATGGCCAGGTGCACCAACCATATGTTTTGTCAAATTGCAAACGGAATGTCTTCTAATAGAGTTGGCAGAAGGTTTAGCAAAAACCGCAAATACTGTTCACCGTTAAGTCGCACTAGTAGTTCATATGGCAGAATTACAAGTTAAGTCTTGCTAGTGCGTCATGAGACATTAAGTTCTGGACGGGGGTGAAATGGTATGTATGTATGTATGTATGGTCTCGTTATGAAGGATATTCAGATTGGTCATTTGTTTATCCCTGTTCCTGCACGTAAGCGCCTTTCAGGATTTTAGGCCACGCATATTAAAATCTCTTCCTCTTGCTGCATCTTGTGCTTAGTGCGAAATTCTTCCTTTTCATCTAAGATGTTAAGTCTTTAAAGGATACTACACACATGCATCACACGCACATCATGTCTTGCATTTCAAAATTTTTAAATGCGTTTTGCCTCGTCATTTCCTCGAATTCAAACTTCATATTAATTTATACTGAAATTATTTAAAAAAAAACATATTTCATTAACACAGATCATCTTAAAAGCATCTAGATTTTTTATTAATCGTTAATAAAATGATACCTGATCCATTATTATAATATCAAAACACCATTTTAAATTTTAGTTTGCTTAAATTCGTGTGTTTTCATATCAACTTATAAATCTTATAATATGTTTTATAAATCAAAACGTATTTTTTTTGATATCTTTCTGCATATTTTATTTTCTACAGATATAATATATATAATGGTTTTAATCCTTAACAATTATAATTAACAAACTTTATCAAATGCACTGTAAGCATGCATCATATCTCATGAGTACTTCGCGTCAAAATATATCTTAATTGTATCATGTATCTGTCATAATATATTAAAATGGTATTTACATAACCAGAAAGGTCGGATATTTTGTCGGTATTTTTCAAATGTAATCAAAATCAGGCTACTGCTCGCATTGAGTATCCTCTCAGCGTTAAAAAACATTTTCTGATACTTATAATAGACTTTTATTTATTTTCCCAAAGACTTTTATAAAAAAATCTTTATTTGGAAAATAATCATACATGCACCGTTTACACCTATGATGTACAGAGCTAAATGACTGTTAAAATGACTGCAGACTATTCTAATGCAAGCCTTTTTATATTCTTATTTCTAAAAGTCAGCTTAATTTAATATCTTATATGAATAATAGTAGCGATACATGACTAATAAGCGATGATTCATAACATACGTAGTCAAAAATGGCCATATAATTGTAACTCGAATAATACCGACTTTGTAAAAAAAAGAATGTGTAATTTTAACGAAAAACTTAATGTCTTGTATTTTCAAGGTGAGAATTTCAATCACTAGTATTAAAATTAAAATGCATTAATTTGAACTGCCGGAACTAAGTTTCCAAATATTTCTTTTCCGAGAGCGTTCATCGAAGTCTATCCGAAATTGTATGCGGGATATGAATTTAGTTAAGACATTGGAGACGCAGCTGCCGAAACTTGGGAATTTCTGTTGGTAATGATAAACTCTTCATAATGCACTTTGCCGATGACCAGGTCATTTTTACTGAGGATAAGGATGATATAAACTATATGGTCAGGAAATTGACAAACTGACCGAGGCGTACAAGTCTTGGGGTCTATCAATTAATATGGAAAAAACAGAATATCTTATCGTACGAGGCACAAACAGAGATTTAATCCTAGAACAGGGAACTATAAAATGTGGCACTAGTGGAGCTGCAATTAAGAACCGCATCCGACAGGGAAAACATGCAACAAAGCAGTTAAATGGAATACTGTGGAGTACCCAAATTCGACCAGAAACTAAAATTAGGATTTATAAGACCATTGTAGAGAAGTATTACAACCTACGGGGCCGAAGTATGGGAAATGACTGATTATTTACGTAAAAGATTATTGGCAATGGAAATGGACTACTGGAGACGCTGTTGTGGACTAACACTGCTAGAAAAAATAAGTAACAATGAGATAAAACAAAGAATGAAGCCAAAAGTTTAAAATGGTACGGCCACGTATGTCGAATGCCGGATGATAGATGGCCAAAAAAAATATTGAATTGGGTTCCTCCAGAAAAAAGTGTTCATAAGTTTCTCTATTTTCAACATATGCATCTGACGAACTTAGAACTCGACTGGGAACCGCACAAGTGGGAAATAAATATTGATAACTTAGGGTAAACAAACGGGATTGTGAAATGAGTTTTGATTATCGCGGCGATGAATAAAAAAGGCTACGCCCTTACTTTTAAATTCGGGAATCGCATGAGAGTGTCGGAAAACAATGGCCACATTAAACGATTATTTATACGTTCCAATTCGTAACTGTATCGCTGCAATATTTCATAGTCCGTTCGTGTCATTCTCCATCGACGGGCGGTTGTACAGGCTGGTACCTTTTGCAGTCCATGACATGTGTGCATGGTGTTACACAATAAAAGAAAATGTCGCTGCGTTTCGTGATGCCATAAACCCGAAACGTGGCACTCGTGGACAAACATCAAATCCGATATTCGTCGAACGGTTCAGTTTTTGAGCTCACGTTAAATGCAGGAGCGTATTATAACGTTGAACCGACTTTCGTCTATCGTTTATCCCAAGCATAAAAAAAAATGCTTTTTTGCTCTGAAATTATTTATTTTGTTGCACTTAAGAATACATTACATGTGTCAAACAAACAATAAAAACTTGAAATGTACAAAAAAATACTGGTGCGTAAACGAAGCACTGGGAAAAAACATTAAATAATGTTTTGGGGCACATAAGATGTAACATATAATTTATACATAAATATACAAAATAAAGTTCAAATTCGACAGAAAACAATTAAAAGTAGATTGTTTTCCAAATAGAACCTGATTTGATACAAAGAACGCATTATATTTTATGGTGCGTGAGCGCACCACTGGTGACACCCGGTTTCATTTTTGGTGATATTTTACAAAGCATGGAGTATGTTAATGCACATTACACTTATTACAAACGTAAATTGTGTGGTTGTGACAGATCTCCTTCGGGCTTTATTAGCATGAACAATCATGAGGTGACCTTGATTATCATAACGCACTTTATCTATTTCAGGTACACAGATTTCTTTGGGTAATTGTTTTATCAGTTTTTAAAAGTCGCAAAGCAATGTAAGATTTAAAATCAAATCAATCACTTCGTCATCAAAAAACATAAAAAATATTTCAAGCGAAGTTTTTCCAGAAAGAATATTCTTTAGTTCCTCACATGGTCTAAATTCATCGGATATAGGTGTGTGAGTGTACTCAATCTGACCTTTCTTCCATTTCCACAGTGGAAGCAAGCTTGTCGTTTGCAGAAACCATACATCTTCTTTTGAATTCCAGGGTTTCATCATCTGATGAGTTCCATTCAGGTTCAGTAGTTGATGAATTACAGGACTGTTGAAGGACAGTTGTATCATTCGGTGTATGTAACTCGAAAGTTCCAACTATATCAGTTGGTTCCCCAAACTCTTGTAGATTTATGTTATCGTTCATATCTTCTTCGTCAGTCAAGGTATCCACGTCGGGTGGAATATAGACCGCGTCCATATGTTCTGTAAATATTTTTTCACGTTATTTTTAGCATAAATTTACAAGGAATGGAATGCTGCAACACATAAGAATACGTAAATCCAAATAATAGTTACGACTTTCATTGTTATTGTCCTCATCCATCAGGATCTCCTCCATGCCATGCACAAATTCTAACATAATTTGCACATAAAAATTTGCAACATTTTTAGGATGCACGTACGCACCCACAGCTTTAAGCGTTCCAGAGAACGTCCACCATTGCGTCAACAAACTCACAAATTATGTTCTAGCTTGGTTTGTCGAGCTCGAGGAAAAGGGCAAAAATTTTTCAATTAAATTAATCTTTCACTGGATATACAGAGTATTAAAATTGAATTTGTTGCCGAAATGAAATACTTGGGAGAGATCTTAGATTCATTATTATGTTTTAGTAATCATGTTGAATATTTACGCAAAGAGATTTGTAAGAAAATATGGTTTTCTAACTGTGTATCGCGGTATTAGTGTACAATAGTATAATTTTGCTTCATTTTTTTGTATGTCTGCTCATTGCTCATACCTTATACAGAAGAAGATTTATTAAATAAGTTACAGTTACAACAAAATAAGGTCATGAGAATCATACTGAACTGTTATAATATATCAGCACTTCACTGTTTCTATAGCAAAAACTACAAATTTAATAACACCTAAGAGTATTCAAGGAGAGGCTTGCGGGATATTTGCGAAGTTCAGAGTTTATTTATTGTAAATTTTAATTGCTTAAATAAATAGTCAAGTGCTAAATAAATTTGTTTATTATTATTATTTTTTTTGGAAATTAGGTTCTTCTATTTCTTGGCAGCTGGTTAAATGCTGAGGGAAGCTATGATGAGGCGATTTTAACAAGAATTGAAATAGCCCATAACACATTTACATCCTGGAGACTTTTGTAATAGAAAAGGGCACTTGTATGCCACTTGGGGTCAATTTTATTCTACATATGCGAAAGATGGACATAATGGCGGTCAATTCCAAATATTTCTAGATTCTGCCTGTTGCAAGATATCTTAACGTGGCATTAAAGTCTCTCATTAGCTGAATTGGCTTCGTTCGTGTAGGTGTTTTGTCTTCTAATGTAGGGAGTAACAGATTTTAACAAAGGCTGTAAAGTTTCAGTGTCGTTTCTCGACTTATCATACCTTTTACTCATATGCTTTGCGCCATTTTCTTTATAAACAGCGATGTCCACATGCGCGTTATCTACCGCGTTTTAAAAAAGCTAACCTAAGGCTGAGTTTTAGAAAATATTTTTATTCGAAATAAATTTAACAATATCGAAGAAGGGAAAAAATCTATTATATAACAAAATCATGAACACTATCTATTTAATTAATTACGTTTATTAAGTATTTAAACACCCTCACGGGCTTAAAATGCTGAACATATTTTTTGGAATTTAAATCTGTGCTCTTATTTAAAAGGGTTCGGCCGTCTGGTGGGACTCTGTAATTTGTTTTACGTGAAGACGGAGAGATTATTTCGGTAATGGAGCATTTTTAAGCTCTGTAAGCGCTTTCGGATACGTTCGATGGAGCCGTATTTTTTAATATCATTCCCGATATCTCCAAGACACGTTCGGAAATTTCCAATTATCTATTGACAACACCCTGTATATATTTCTTCCCGTGGCAATAAAAACACGCCCGTGTTCAAAATAACCTGACGCGAAGGGGTGGGGTACGCGATCAGTCCACCAAGCCGGCCGAGGAGTCGAATTCTGTTATCTCCACCGGCGGGGGGTGGGGGGCGGCCCCACCTGGCTGCGCGCGCTCGCCCACCTGGCGGCGGCGGCGGCGGCGGTGTCGACGACGAACAGTCCGTCTGACGACGTAATAGCATCTGTAACGACGACAGTAACAGCAGCAAGAAGAATAAAAGGGGCCCATCGTCACACAGAAACGCGACTGTACACCGCTGAGAGACACCTACACACGCACCGCTCTCTCACCTGAGCGCCCCACCCCCACTTGACCCAACCACCACCGCCGCCGCCGCCGCCGCCACCGCCGTCGTCGTCGTCGACTAGCATCGACGACGCCGTCTGTCTCAGTCGAGTGTTTCACACGGTATTACGTGTTCAGGTCGAAGTAGTCGCGTTCTCTCTGCCCGCCCGTCGTCGCAATTCACACTACACACAAACACACACACACACACACACAGGCACGCAGAAACACGGAGAGACGAAACAGAACGCGCGATAGCGAGTAGTGTGCTTTTTTGGTGGTGTCGATTGTGTTTCGTCCGTTTTTCCGTCTCGTTGGAATCGTGGAGGCGCTGACCGCCACCAAAAGAGGCAGGCACCCTCCGCCGTCGTCGGTAGACACGCGGGCACCTGCCGCGACGCCGCCCCCGTCATTTAAACGTGCCAAGCACGACGGTGCGGGCCTGAACCACCACGATAATATGGAAGCAGCCCCGCTAGCGGCCGTAGGTCTCAGCCAGAGCATGGATTCGGTCAACACGAATAACGGCGAGGAAGAGGTGAGTCGTTTTCTTGTTCCGGGGGCGACGGATTCTCTTGTTTACGCGTTACCGTGGCGACGAGGAAGAGGCGTAGATGGCGCGGGTGCGCTCCCTTTTTGTGTTCGTACGGGTCGGCTCGAAAGAAGGTTCTCAGCGTCCTCGGGGTCTCGTTTAATCCGTTACCGCTGGGAAACGTCGGGCAATTAGGCAACTTGTCGAACGTCAGGTTAAAAAGTCCGTCACCATTTTCAATAGAATGCGATAAGGTTATACTTCGACCAGAATTATAGGGCTTTTACAATCGATGCCGTAATTAACTTTGTTTACTGTTTATTACTCCAAAACCGCAGCTCCTTATAGAATACCCTGCCGAGCAGACCCTTACCCTTAACCGTCCTAGGAATTTATCTACCTACACTAACAAGTGGGATATGGTTTCAATCTTTTTAGTAGCAAGTAAAGTCTGTTCATAGATATATGAAAGTGACTAACTGATACGAATTTAGGAAAGACCCGGGCAAGCTGTAAGAATGAAAAAAGGCCGAACAGGTCCGTACTTTGCTTAGAATTTAATTATTTGGGGTTTTGTTAGGAAAGATACTAAACAATATTTATTGATTTATGAATGTATTTATGTTTAAATCTAAAACAAAATTACAAATTATTTTAATTACCTATTTAAATTACTTAAAATTATTCACATAATATATCAGTATCACTATCGCTATCATCGCCTGTTCTAATTATTATTTGTTCTATATTATTTGCAATATTTGCATATGCAGATTTTTTGCAATATTGTCACAGACGTATACCTTTTGGTGGTTCATGCTTTGTAGAACCTCAGTTAATTGCTTTTCGGTATAATCTTCGTGAAAATAAATGTCGTTATTATACATGTAGTTTTGGATTGTTGCTTTTGTGTCACATGAGGAAGGGGTTTTAGGCAACTGTCTACTGTGATAACTTACATTGTCCATTACAATTACGATATTATGAAGAATGTTTGGAACTAGTTTATTTTTAAACCAACTTTCAAACAAATCAGTGGTGGTGTCTTCATGGTAATCCAGAGAAGAATCTTTAATATTTTTCGCAGACAAAGAAAGTCCATTTGGAATCCAACCATCTTTAGATTCCTTAGTCTCAATAGAATAGTGTGTTCTACATTTGGCGGGAGCATCTCCACAGATACACTAGACTCGCACATATTTTGCATAATTCGCACACGATTCAAAATAACCTGTATTACACACTAATAATAAACTAAGTAGTATGTATACCAAACCAAAGAGTATTAAACACAGGTAGGTATAAAATTATTTTCTATTACGGACCACAATTTTACGTGAATTTAAATTCCTAAACTTTAGGTAATAATCTTGTTGCATTGTATGTTAATAACCACCCTTGGACAATCCCATACAAAAGCAATTGGTCACTTTCTTATATCTATGAACAGACCATAACAATTTTATTACGTTCTATGTCACTTGTTTTTATTGCTGCTCCCACTTCCCCTTCTGTATTGCTTCCTCTTCAAAGTCTGCGTTATTTTCCATGTCTTCTTGTAACAGAGGAACATCTGCTTCATTCCACTGTCTCCACATTTTAAAGTGTTTAAAAACAGGAACTTTTAAAAAATCTGTAATTGTAAAATTCTAATAAATATTTATCTGTATTCTTATGACGTATCTATCGCGCATACAATCTATTGTCTTAAAAATGATTAGTTTCAAACTTACCTGTAAGTTAACTAACCTTAAAACAGCATCGCAGGGTCAAAGCTCTAGAGTCAGATACATAACTACGTACTTACTGGAAGAATCACAGTCAAATAACTCCGTAATATATACGAACATATTGCAATTTAGATTAAACTCTTACGAATTTAAACGGTCCATTTACGTTTGAAATAAAAATTTCATAAAAATTTCAAGACCTACTTAGTGCAGAATAACCATCTGTTGGAATGTATTAAAAAGTTTACCGAACGTGTTGCATACTATACTTTTTCTACGACCGTTAGTTTTTGGGTACATTTTCGCAACAACCCAAAGAATTGATTGAATACATTTAGTTTGATAAAATCTCAACACATGCTTAAAAATTTTAAGAACTTAATTTTTATGGGTCCTTAAGCAGGACTTTATGGTGTCCACGCCTCTGAGCAATGTGATTACAATTAAGCGCAAGCAAGATTAAATAAATATTGTCGTCGTTAATATCGCTTTTATTTTTGTGCAATTTTATGGCCAAGGCGGGAAACGCATAAAGTACGTACTTTTTGAAAACCACAAATAAATTGGTACCGGTGGAACTGGTCTTTTGAATTTCATTAACGCCATCTGTGGCCGTTTGTGTTATTGTTAACTAGAGAGACTCTGTTACGCGCGCAGACCACCAGCCAAACGCTGACCACTGATAGAATTCGATCGATTAAATATTGAAACAATATATCGAGGCGGAAACGGAATATACCTACCTAAACAAAACCAACATTCGACAATGGGGATCCAATTATACATTGTGTTTGGAGGGATGGTGTAGGGGAGTACAATACAAAAGGTACAGGTTACAGTTAGAACCACAAATTCATTATGTTTGCAAATAACAATTCATTACCTGACTGTATTTCAACAAAGATACTTCGTAGAAATTACTTCGGTGTATTTTTGCTACCACAGTCACTCCTCGTGTACTATTAATTACAGAAAATACAAAAATAAAATAATAAATGGCAGGGCACTAATTATCTTTAATAATAATCAATTAATTGTCCTTTAGACCACCTCTGAAAATGAATGAATGAAAATGGTTAGCGTTATGTAAATTATAGCATGCAATTAAAAAAGGGATCCTCTTCAGTAGATACGGACGGTCTATAGAGTATTGACGAGTTTATACAGATAAACAAGTCCGTGTAACCTTTAGAGACTAAATGTCAAACAGTTGGAGTAACACGCGCTGATCAAACTCCTTGGAGGATAATATCCATGTAACTAAAAGTGAAAATATTTTAACTAGAACGTAACTAGGTGACCATAATATAGATGATTATTCCAATTTACTCCATCTAAACGTTATGTAAGCGTAATAGTACCCACAGCACACTAACAGTTTGGATGCTCTTGCCGTTACTTTTGATATGTGCGCAATAATAGCAAAGTTAGTGAAAAACCCAACACCCAAACCTCTCGTAAATGTGTAGTCTAACACCATGGGTCTATTATTTCGATGCATTTGGCAACATTAAGTTTCAGACAGTTCGTAGAATACGCAGTAGTGATTTACAATGCGCAAAGTGTTTTGTAATTCTTTCAAATCATGTTCGATGGTGTCCAGAAATATCTTTAGCGCATCCGCAAACAACAAATGTATTGGAAAAATCGTTGATGAAAATAAGAAACAGATAACGCAACTAAATTCGATTCTTGAGGCACTTATATTTATACGATATAGCAACAAACATTTTGGACTTATAGCCTCTAGATACGATTCGATTAAAATCAGTAAATCATTCGAAAATTCTGAGATATACTGCGTAATATCGACAAATTTAATAGTGCTGGATCTCTTCTCTACGAAACCGTACTGAGGTACGAATATGATATTATTAACATGACAATATATTTATTATACAGAATAACTTCTGCAAGTATCCCGAAATTGCACAAAATTGCAAAAGCTATAAACAGTTTAATAGCCTGCCTTCAGAATCGGACAGATTTCTTTTTCATATGTCTAGGTAAACTATTACGATTTTCCCTCGTAAAGTCGCCTAATTTTCCATTGAAAGTATATATAAAAGAAAATCATAGTTACCTGTGCGAGTTGGACGGCTTGTGGCTGTCAAACTCAATTTTTAACATAGTAGGGTCACTATGTTCTCTACTAGCCATATGGTTGTAATTGTTACTTTCAAAAATCGATGAAATCGTATTTTCGAAAGTATGTGCGCTCGTATAAAAATTTTATATCTCGGTAGCGGTAGGTCCTATGGGATCGTCGTTGGTAAAGAAATGATCACCGTCGAAAAAAAAAATTTTTTTTGTCTGTCCGTTCTCCGGTCTCGTCTTTTGGTTTTTCCTGAATAAGTTTTGAAGCTACAAAATTGAAATTGCCTCCTTTTTAACCCTCCACGAGGCACATAAGCTTGTAAGAAATGGCCCTTGCCTTGAAACACGATAAGTGTCCGAAATTTGAGGCAATCGACTTCATATTTGGCACATATATGGCTTTGCCCCGTGACGGAACCTATTGATGGGGGGGCTGGATGGTCGGGAAGCATTTTTAAAAATTAAAAAAGCGCGCGAGTAAGGGTCTACAAAAAACAACATTTTTCAAAAACCGCTTACGAGACCAATAAAATTCTTGAACCAGAAGAAGCAGAAGATACGGCTCTATAAACTTTTATTCGTGACAATTTTTCAAAAATATACAAGGTGCGCCGCAAATTCAAAAAAACTGAAAAATGGGTCCCCCTATTATTGAAAACTGGTTATAATTAAAAGACTATGATTCAGATCCCACTTTCTTTTATATAGATAGAAAAACCTTTTGTATTTAAGGCTTTCACCTATTGTACAGGGTGTTCCCGAGATTTCGTGCTAAATGGGAAATGTGTTAAGTGTCCTAAATTTGCAGATACCAACTTCAAATTTAGCAGAGAAGTAAAAGTACGTGTCCACATTTAAGAAATTGGGCGCAATTAAATATTTCAAAGTAATTTTTAAATATATTTGATTTTTTTTTTCGGTGATCATTATCGTTCATCCGATTGGCAAAATTCTTTAACCGGCAGACGCAGAAGTTTCGCAGGGTTTTCAAATTATAGCCAAAAATCTAAAAGAAAATTGTTTTTTTACAGAGTAAATTATTAGCCGCAAATAAAAAATCGTAAAAATGTGGCTAATTGGTTCATAGGCCGCATCAAGAGCTACAATTTTTGTATTTGCAGTTTTCGTCTATCACATGCGCTGCTCCGGTTATTTGAAAAAATCCATATTTCGGGGGCT